CGGGGCGCGCGGGCGGCCGCCTCACTCCGTCTCCTCCTTCTCCTCGGGCATCTCCACCGACAAGATCTGTTCGCCGGGGTCCGGGCCCGGGCTCATGCGGATCCGCACCGAGTGCTCCTCGGGCTCGGCCGCCCCCTCCTCGCCTCCCTCGAGTCTCGCAGGGGAGGCAGGTGGCGGAGAGCGCGCGGCCGGGCGCTCCGGGGCCGCGGGCTGCTCCGGGGCGGCCTCCGCCGGGGCCGAGGGTTGCACCTGCGCGGCCGAGCCCGCCTCTCCCGCGGCGTCTCCCGATCTCTTGGCCTGGAATCCGGAAAGAGTGACTCGTGAGGCAGAGAACCTCCAAGGGGTCTTGGGTACCTCCCGGTTCCCGCCTTCTCGACCCGCAAGGAGGGGAGGATGGCGGAGCGCGCAGGGAGTGAGATCTAACGGGTCGGGGCCGAGCCGCATCAGGGTTATTTAAATGGTAGAAACAATGTATGATGGGGAAGTTTAAGGATTAAAAGTCGCGGTCGGATTTAGTGGAAGGTCTTGGGGATATTTCAGGTCTCTGCTGATTTGCAGGGCTGGAAGCGACAGTGCAGTTTCCAGTTCAAGGGCTGAGCCCCGCGCCTGAGCTATTGAGAGAGGAGAGGCTGTGACCAGCAGGGGGTGCCACCATGGCCCCTGCAAAGCTGAGCTGGCCTGCCCTGCCCGCCCCAGTGACCAGGGCTGGGTGCTCCTGGGTGAATGAGAAAAACTCTGAGCAAACACCGTTAAGGCTGATGAGAGCAGGAGCAGCGGTGGCCTGGCCACCTTTCTGGAAGGTCTCAAAGATTGAGACCCCAGGGGAAGAATGGGCTAGGTACCCCTGGCATTAGGCTGAGCCGAGCCCGTGTTTGGGGACTCGGTGGGTAACTCCAGCCTCCCGCCTGCAGGGTTCCGGTGGACGCTGGTCGTGGTTTTGAAACCGAGGAGGAAGGAGTTAAAATTTCCGTGGCTTAGGGTGAAACTGTCCCTTGTTCCCACCAGGTTAACGTGGGAAACAAAGTAGCCGATGTTTCTGAGCTTGCCTTGCAGAACAGCAGGAGGACCGCTGATAAGAGAGTGGCTTGCTGACAGCCGCCTGCCTAAGCATGCACAGGAGCATTGAGACACTAAAGTGACTGATTGTAAACTTTAGATGTCACAGACTAAAAATCCACTGCGTGCAACACATAGAAGACCCGGAATTTGCACGTGTGACCCGTGAAGAAATATGAAAGACAGTCGCGCCTGTGCAGAGGACTCTTAGAAATTCAGCCCCCAAGGCCACATGCTCCCCCCTCCCTTACCTGAAACCCCAAATAAAAACCCTGGCTGGTAGCTTTTCCTGGAGTTTGGGATTACAGTATTAGCTGCCCATTCTCCTTGCTCAGCACTTTGCAATAAAATTCCTCCTTTCTTCCACTACACCCTGTGTCAGGGATTGGCTTGCTGCCGAACAGGTGAGTCAACCCACTTCAGGTTCAGCAACAGTCTGGGTATCAGTAGGGAATCGGGTGAAAACGCAAGCCTTTGTGGTTACCCATGGCCCCTCCTGCCCTGTCTGACCCCCTCTCTGCATGGAAGGAAACTGGGGAGGAAGCAGCCCCCAGAGGAGGAGGTCAGAGTGGTCCTCAGCTATCTAAGAGCCGCTTGAGGGGGTGGTAGTGAGTTTAAAGTGAGAACAGTCAGCATGCTTCTGTGGAACAGAGACCCCCTGGCATTCGCTCAAGTCATAGGGTGTTGAAGGAAGGAAAGGGGGGAGAGGGGGTGATCAAGATGCTCCTAGAACCCAAGGCAGCCCTGGGGACCAGCCACTCCCCCTGTCTCGGTGTTTCTGCATGTGTTGGCGCACCTGTTCCACCTCCCCTGTCCACCCTAAACTCTGACACACACTTCTAGGACAGGATGCCCAGATGGTGCCCATTATGCGACTTCCTGAAGCATCCTGCTATAGATGGGACCAGAGGAATCATGGGAAGGTTGGTCAAGTGCTTCTCCGTGTTCAAAGTGCTTTTATAAAAGGTATCCAAGGCGGCCTGCTTCCTCTCGACAATGCTCTGTGGCAACCATGAGTATCTGGGTCTCAGAAAGCTTGAGGAGCTCCCCAGGTCACAGAGCTGGCAGTGACAGAGCCGGGATCTGGACCTGGGTCTTTGGACTGCTATTTAAGAGCTCCCTGCACTCTGTCGTTCTGTCCTGGTTGTTCTGAATTGCAGGGAAATGCCTTTTATTAGAATAGTCCTGCAAATTTAATTCATATCTCCAAGCCGCCTGGGTAGAGCAACGTGCCCCATTTCAGATAAAGCCTTTCACTGTATGAAAACACTCTTGGAGCTCGTGTCCGCTCAGCCCATCACAGCAGCCGCCACTGAATACCCCAACTTGCCAGCTCCACCCTGCCCCTGGCCGTTTGTGAGCCAGGCAAGCACGTCTTTCCTCAATCTGGGGCCATGGGAGGCTGTATCCAGAGAATATCTTGGAACTCCAGGTGGCTTTGATGTCACTCCCCAGAGTCCTGCTGTCAAACGACCTCGGGACAGGTCCCCTGGACTCTGACACCAGCCTAGATTGAGACTGAGTTCACCGGGCTCCTTTGAATTCTGTCACATAGACAGCTGCCCCCTTCCTGCCGCTGAGCTCCTGCCTAGCCCCCACCCCGTGGCCTCCCTAAGGGACAGTCATGAACAGCCATAATTAGTGCAATCATCCTAATTGGCATTCTCGGCATTAGTCACAGAAAAAAGTCCCAGAACTAATTTTTAAACTCCCTTCAGATTTAGGGGGGTGGGGGCAGTCGGCACTGTGCCTCTCAGCAGATTTTTCTTTCAAATCTTCTAAATTGTCACAGACACAATATTAAATATGAGAACATCACTGGCCTCTGGGGAGGGACGTTCCCTGCCCGCACCCACCGCTCCTACCTCTGCAACAGCACTGGGGCTTCCTTTTTCGGAAGCCCCCCCCCCCCAGTCCAGAGTGTGTGAGCCAGGCCTCTCCAGAGCACCACATCGAATGGCTCAAGACTTGACATGTGACCCACTTCTGTCCGATGACAGTGGCCCTGGGAGTTTTGCTGGAATTACTGGGAAAGAGGCACCTCTTTCTGTTGGGGTTGCTAAGCAGGAGGATGTGATCCTGGAGCTCTTGGGGGCCTGCCCGGGAGTGGAGCCATCCCTGAGGAAGGCAGAGATGGCAGGGTGGCAGACCTCGTCCTGTGGGCATCCTCGGAGCTTTTGGATCCAGCCTTGCCTGAAGTTTTCAGTTCCTTGACCCAAGAAATTCCCTGATTTTCAAGCTAATTTCAGCCTGCACTGTGGCTTACATTTCTGTCACTTGCAACCAAATGAATCCTAACTGATATAAAAGGAGGGGGAAGATACCCTAAAATTAAACATGGGGTCCATTCTCTGAGGCCCCTGGGCCTGCTCCTTGGCGGGTAGTTGAAATGGACGGGTTACCTGTTCCAACAGCTGCTGCTGCCTCGCAGCCGCCTCCAGCGCAGCCAGTTCTTTGAGTTGGGCCCGGAGGTGGGCCAGCTTGCCGCCTTTTGCCCCCTTGGCGCCCAACTTTCCCGCTGCAGCCAGGGCGGCATTGAAGAGCTTGGGGGTGCCCGCCCGGGGAGGAAGGATGAGCACGCTCTTCTGCTCCTTGGGCTTGTTGTTATTTCTCAGCATGCGCCTGAAAGAAAGCAGCGGCTACTAACACCACAAGAACACCCTGGGACAGAAGAAAGACTCGTTTGTGGACGGCCCTTTAAGTTGGAGTTGTTTGATGGTGGTTTTTTGGGTTAACAACTTTTAAGTGCCTTTTCTGAGCCAAGCACAGACTGAGTGCTTCATGCACAGCATCTCACTGAATGATCAGAATAACCATATGATGTGGGTCTTATGGTCTGCACATTATAGATGAGGAAACAGAGGCTCAGAGAGGTTGAGTAACTTTTCTGAGGTCACACAGGAAACAATGAAGGACACTTTAACACATGGAATCAGAAACAGGATGCCCAGATGAGAAAGGAACCACAGCTTTTTGCTTCTCCTTCTCCTTGAGCTTCGTTGTAATTTCACCGTCATGACCATCACCACTGTCAACACTCACTGAGTGTCTGTATGTGTCGGGCCCTGTGCTTGGTCATTTACAGGCAGGCATTCTCTGCTGACCTCTGTGATCCCTATCCTGGTTTTCATGCCTCTGTGTGGTCCCCTCCCCTTGAGGCTGAGTGGGACATGTGACTTGCTTTCAACCAATAGAAGACAGCAAAGGAATATCACTTTGGTGACTATACCACATAGGGTTGTGATCTCTGTCTTGCAAGGAGACTGTCTCCCTTGCTGGCTCTGATGAAGTAAGCAGCCAGGTCGAGGGGACCCGTGTGGCAAGCACCTGTGGGCAGACATCGGCCAACAAGTAGCTAGGAACTGAGGCCCCCAGTCCTACAACCACAAGAAAGTGAATTTGGCCAACAACCATGTGACCTCGGAAGCAGATCTTTCCCCACTCAAGACTTAAAATGCAACCCAGCTCTGATTATAGCCTTGTAGCAGACCCACCTAAGCCGTCCCCAGACTTCCGACCCATAGACACTCTGAGATAATAAATGTGTGTGGTTTTATGCTCCTAAATTTGGGGGAATATTGTTATACAGCAACAGATAACTGATACACACTCTGTCGTTTAAGTTTCACAGTCGTCCTCACAGGTAGGTCCTATTATTCTGCCTCATTTCAAAGGAGGATATGGAAGTCCAGAGGGGGTGAGTAATTTTCCCAAGGCCACACAGCTGGGAAGGGGCACAGCTGGAATTCAAACCCATGCCTCTGACCCCAGCACCCCAGATCTTAATGAATATAAAGCAACATCATAGTCACTATCTTCTCGGATGCTGACAATACTCCTGTGACATGGGAAGGGCTGGGATTATTGTACCTATAAGAGTTGGGGAAACTGAGGCTCAGAATGGAGGGACTGACATGCCCAAGGTTGCTCGTAAGTGGCAGAGGCAGAATTACAACCCAGATCTAAATGCAGTATACCGCCCTGCTTCTCTGAATAAGGATAGAATTTTCCATCTGACAGAGCCCCAGCCTTTTATAAGTAATTTTTCACGCTACAAATATGTGATGAGCGGTTTGGCTCAAGAACAAATGAATTTCGCCTGCAATCTAGCGGGCCTAGGGTCCTAATTGGCAAATTCATTCATCAGACTTCCAGCAAAAGTTGTTTGTTTAAAAATGAGGCCATTACAGGCTGCTTATCTAATCAGAGGCAAGGGATTTAAATTGTGCATATTGCTATTAATTGCCCAAGACGTGCATTTTCTACATGAGGCTCCCCCAGGAGGACACAAACACGATAATTCGTCAGAGGCCTCTAACATGCCCGGCACTGTCACCTGTGTCATTTGAGTCCATAATTCACGGCACAACAGTCTGTGGGAAGGGTCGGCATGGTACTAAAATGATGTACAAGGAGCGTCTCTGAGACCGTGGCTGATTGCTAATGGCTGTCTCTGTTTTGCAACATTGAGCTGGCTTCTGGGACATTTCCAGATTAAAGAAATTTATCCTCATTTTCAGGTGATGTGTGTTTCACTATAATTAGGCTCAAGCATTCACCCTCGGAGAAAGTGGCATGCTCCATTTCTTGGAGCAGCCAAGCCAAAGAGCTGAGCACTTCACTTCTTGGGGGCCTCAGGTCTCCCCTCTGTAAAGTGGGGAGCTTAGACAGAATCCCACACGTGGCTCTCACCAACTCAGATGTCCTCAGCCCCATGGTTCTCAGACTGCTCCTCTCCTTTGATGGGCAGGGCTCATACATGATCCCCTGCCTGTCTCCTCAAGCTCGCTTCCAGACAACCAGCCTCTCTGAATGAATCACGTTCACGCCACAGCCCCCAGTCCTAGGCGCCTGTCCTGCAAGGCCTGTCAGCGTTTCCTCCTTTCTCTGGCTGCCTCACACCAGCACCCTGCAGGCACGGTCAAGAGCGAGGCCTCTGCGGGATCCTAGCTGATCTGCCAAACCCTCACCTAACCCAGCCAGAGGAAAGGGATTGCAGCTAAAGCGTGGTCTCCCTGGGCAGCGCTCCTCTCGCAGGGGGAGGGACGGAGGGTGAGGGGACCCGGTGCCAGTCCTGGGACATAAACAGTCAGCGCTCATTATTCGAGGTAGTTCAGTTTTATAAAGTCCCTGTGAACACTGAATTAGCGAATACTGAACCATTGCTTCTAGAGGAAACACAGGGTGAGGTCTCTGTGAGCCTGTCTACACAACAGTCTCATCAACTGATCAATACACAACCTTATCTTGTGTGTGTTTCTGTTTAAAGACATCTTGTTTAATATACACTGTTGATTCATTAACAACGAACTCAAGGCCGACAGCACTGTAACTCAGGCCCGAACAAAGGCACATCCCAGCCTTCGCGCCCTTAGGAACATGGGACGACACTTCAGCACGACACTGGGGGCTGTTCTAAATAGCAGTCACCAACAAGAATCACAAAAACGTGGCACACCATAGACCGGAAAAAGACACTTGTTTACAGTAGGAGCTGAAGCAAGAAGGCAGAACGTCAGCTTCCACTGGGACGTGTGCTTTGGGCGACTCAAATTTTTTGCTTCTCTGAGTGTGTCTGCAAATGACCGTGACAGCCCCGAGTGTTGATTTCGGGGTTACGAATAAATTTTAGTGAGTAGGCGAATTGCAGATATGGAATCCATGGATGATGAGGATTGACTGTACTTTCTGGTCCCTCGGGAGAATAGGGGGAAGTGGGCAGACTTTGTGGGAAAAGTTCAGGCAGACCAGCCTTTGGAAGGGCCCCGGGGCTTCTTGGAGAGCAGCCAGGTAACATGAGTTACGGGGCAGTTTCTTCCCCAGGGGACCCCAGCACCTTGTGTGTATGAGGCTCTAAGTCAACACTACATCCACTCACCTGGGCACTGCCAAACGGATCCTGTAAAAACCTAAGTCACGTCAGTCACTCCTCCGTGTAAAGCCCTGCATAGCTCGCATCTCCCTCAGGGTAAAAGCCCAAGCCATCATGAGGCTTCACCTACAAGGCCCTACCCAATCTCATCTCCTCGACTTCTCCCAGCCCATCTCAAGCTGTGCTCATTTTCTTACTGGTCTGCACACACACTGAGCCTGCGCCTCCTCTGGGCTGTTGCACATGTGGTTCCCTCTGCCTGGAATGCTTTTCCCTGCGGGAAGTCCCCAGCTCACTCCTTCACTCTGTGCCCGTCTCAGTTGAAATGCCACCTCCTCAGAGTGGCTTCTCCTGACCGACTTATCTCAGACAGCTCCCTCCATCACCTCTGACTCCTCCCGCGGCTCTGTGCTTCCTCATGGCCCTTATCCCCAGCTGACACAACATGTCATCACTCACGTCTCCTCAACTAGAATATAAGCTGTGTCTAGGTCCCCAGGGCCTAGAACAATATACTCAAGAAATTACTGTGCTGTGTGAATGGCGGTGCGTCTGTTCCTTTATCGTGACCACTCTCTGTGTAGGTTATCTATGGTGTCATTTCATAGAAGAAGTGGAAATAAGCATGTGTGACAAAAGGCAAGGGAGGAAAAACCAGATAGGTGGATTCAAAAGGCTTTATCCGATGGAAAAATTATAGAGAGAACAATTATTATTAGCATTTATCGAGTTCTCCCACATGCCTGGCACACTGCTGGAGGCATTCACATACGCTATTTTGTTTAATCTTCTCAACAACAAAGTAGGGGCTGATTATCCTTATTTTACAGTGGAGAAAACTGAGACCAGAAAAGTTAAGTAACCTTTCCAAGGTCACACAGCCAGTACCGCACACAGATGGGATTTGAGCCCTACCAGCCTCCCAAGCCTATGGTGGTTTTTCTACATGATGCTGCCTCCATCACTCAATTTAAAACCTGATCTTAAGGGTTTGAAAGCAAAAACCTGCTTTTCTAAAAAATTACCTACTCCTCAACGATACAAAATACAGATGCGCAAGGTTTTGTTTGTAATTGCAAAATATTGGAAATAGACTAAACGCCCATTCATAGGACGGCTCTGCAACTGCCCAAAGGAAGGAGGAAGCTGTCTAGGACTAGTGGAGACTGTTTCTCAGGATTTGTCACATGAAAAGAGCAAAGTGCAAAAGAAAACGTACAATATGCTAGCTTTTGGGTAAGACAGAAAGGGAAATAAGAAAATATTCACGGATCTGCTGATTTTTGCAAAAGGAAACACAAGAACCCAAAAGCAGAAATGAATGAGCTCGGGTTCCGACAGGGGGCAGGTGGCGACGTGGCGGGGGGAGCTGGGACACTTCTCTGTGTACGCTCCTTTGTAGTGTTTTGACTTTTGGTACCACGTTCATGTTCTACCAAACAAGAATAAATCAGCAAGGATTGGTGGGGGGATCCTAAAATGGAACGCAAACTGAAACATGCGAACCTAGTTGTATCGCAAATGAGCAAATCACCCACAGTAAAGGCAGGAGGAAGAGAGCTCATCCAAGGAACTCCGAACCCAGCGCTAACACGGTGTGTGCTCAGGCCGAAGGCAGAGAGAACCGTGCTCTGCTTAGAAGGCCATCTTGTCTCCAGGAGCACGGGGCAGTAATTCTGATGCTGCTTTCTCTGTAGTGGAGGGCCGAACAAATGAACAAATGCAGTGAGGATAAAGGGAGCCACATTTCTCAGTGTGGGAGAAGGAATTTACAAATGTGGCAAAGGAGAAGATTAGAATGGACTCTGCGGGGCCGGCCCCGTGGCTCAGCGGTTAAGTGCACGCACTCCACTGCTGGCGGCCCGGGGTTCGGATCCCGGGCGCGCACCGACGCACCGCTTCTCCGGCCATGCTGAGGCTGCGTCCCACATACAGCAACTAGAAGGATGTGCAGCTATGACATACAACTATCTACTGGGGCTTTGGGGGAAAAATAAATGAATAAAACTATATATATAAAAAAAGAATGGACTCTGTGGTGTTGGATTGAAATTGTTAGATATAGATATAGATACAGAGTAGATATAGATATAGATACAGATAGATACAGACAGAAAAACAGATGCTAATGTATGTGCGTATATGTGTGTGTGTATGTGTATATATATTTGCATTTATACATGCAGGTGTGTATGTTGGTGTATTTCCCAGCTCTGTCCACTCTGGAGCCCTAGCAGCACCCCAGGAGCAATGAGTGCACTGACTCAGATCCTGGTTTCTAAAAACCACTCCCCTCTGAAAGGAATCAAGGCTCCTTGGAGAAATGGCCATTTCCAGGGATGCACCCAGGGAAAGTACGGAATGAGCTTTGAGCATCTTATTGTGCCTGTAGGCAAGGAAGTGAAACTGAAGGTGAAGGAGTTCAAGTTTCCCTGGATTAGCGTGAAACTGTGCCTGTACCCACCAGGCTAACACGGGAAACAAAGTAACCAAAGTGTCTGAGCTTGCCTTGCAGAACAGCAGGAGGACCGCTGATAAGAGAGGAACTTGCTGACAGGCTCCCACCTGACTAAGCATCAGGCGGCAGCATTCAGAAGCTCGAATGACTGATGGTAAGCTTCACACGTCATAGACTAGAGATCCACCGCATGCAACACATAGAATCCCCCAGAATTTGCACAGGCGGCTCTTGAAGAAATATGAAAGACAGTCGTGACTGCGCAGAGGACTCTTAGAACTTTAGCCCCCAAGGCCACATGCTCTCTTCCCCACCTTATTCTCACAGTATGCTTTGGAAAAACGCTTAGAACCTCACCTAGGCAAGCTAATTTGTAACCGGTAGAAAGAACAACTTGTTAGCAGAAAATTTATGTCCTCTGCCCAAACTGTTCTTTCTGTCCCAGATAAGGAAGGAACTGAGGTTTTCTTAGATTCCTCAGGAACGTTGCATTCAGCAGATCCGCTATGGAGAGGCACCCAGTGTTCTGTGCTCATCCATCACTGGACGCTCCTGAGCCCCCTTCCCAACCCTGTTTGCCTTATATAAGTCATTTCCAAATCCATTCCCTTTAAGATGGGTTTTCTAGGACGATAGTCCACCATCTTCCCATTTGCTAGCTTATCGCTTATTAAAGTTTTATCTCTTGGCCTTTTATCTTATGGTGAGCAGACTGAGCCCTTGCTCGGTATCAGAAGTGCTAAAATATGATGGGGATGTAACAAAGGGTCACTAGAGCCAGCCTGAAGAGGTTCCCACTGGCCAAATATGGAAGGATTTGAGCATCAGAATAATGATTGTAAAAGGATATACATGAAATAAAGCAAATCCATGCTGATATAAATAGATAAATGAATAAACAAATAAATGAGAGAAGAGAAAGCTCTTCCTTACAGTAGGATGCTTGCTAATAAACGTAGAAGGCCTGAGGGAGTCAGAAAATTACTGTTTTGCAGCCATCATGGCCATCATTGTGGGGAACCTTCAGTGGATGCTAAAAGCAGTGAGTGAAAGTTTGATGAGGAACAGGAGATCGATACAGTCTCAGAGTGACTCCCCACAAATGACCTATTAATTACAAAGAAAGAAATAGTCACTGCAGAGTGCAGAAACTTTAACCAAGTGATCAAAGTAAAAAGCATCAATATTGGGAAAAAGCGGCATCTCGTGCCTCTCAATATGCTGCACCGAGAAGGATGCAACACCATTTCTGAAGAATTCCCACCCAAAATGCAGACCCTGAATGTCATCGCCAGAAAACATCAGATCAACCTAAATTGCGGGAAATTCTTCAAAATAACTGGCCTCTCCTCTTTGAAGAAGTCAACGTTCTTAAAGATAGAAAAAGGCTGAGGAACGTTGATCCTAGATCGAAGGAGATGAAAGATACGTGCCAACATGGTGCGATAGGTGATCCTAGACTGGATCCGGGAATGCAAAAGAAGATCTATAAAAGACACTTTGGGGACAATTAGCAAACGTTGAATCTGGATAGGGATGAGGTAATAGTATTGTTTCAATATTGAATTTCCTGATTTGGTAAACGTACTACAGTTCTGTACGAGAAAGTCCCAGTCCTCAGGAAATGCACACTGAAGTATACACAGATTTTTTTAATTGAAAACACGTACCTGGCCTTCTTCCGGAGCAACTTCTGGGACTCGGGATAATGCACCAAGATCTCATTGAGGTCCTTCTTATCCAGAATGAAGAGGTTGGTGAACCCGTGGGCCACCACGTTGGCCGTGCGCCGATTCCCACCCCCGACAGCCAGCAAGCTGGGGCAGAGAAGGGAGGCGTGTGAGACCCTTCGGAGGCTCCGGTTTCAATCACACTAAAATCTTAATTTTCGCCCCTGCGTGGAGCACAATGATGGCCTCACGAAGGCGAGAGCCGGGGACCACCCTGCCTATGTCAGCAGGTGCCCGTGCTGCATCTACAGAGGATTCCTCAGACCCACCAAAGGGCCCTGAGGACATGGTCCCGCCATTGGCCATCCCCTCTCTTTCCCCAGCCTCTGCCCAGGTCCCCTCGGTCCACTGCAGCTCCCCTCTGACCTTATTTCGCCAAACACAGATCCAGCTCTCAGCGTCACCAGCACAGACTTCCCGTCGGGACCACCCAGGACCTGCACCTGCCCTGCCTGGATGATGTACATCTCTCGGCCTATCTCCCCCTGAAACGGAGAAGGGGTGACCAGAGAAGCAGCAGACTGGGCCCGGAGGCTGGTGTCACAGCTCGGAGGAACCTGGGCTGGGGTCTAGCCCTGCCACTGACTTGGTGTGTGGTTTGCAGCCAGTCATATCCTCTCTCAGGCTTGTCTCCCCATCAGCGGATTGGGGACAGTGCCCACCCCCAGCCTGCCTCACTGACAGGATTACAGTGGGGAGTTAGTGGTGCGATGGAAGGGACGGGGCTAGATAAGCTAGGAGGTGCAGGTGTAATGGTATTCTGCAAATTCCCGACTATCCACAAGATGGAGGGCCCAGAGGAGCGGAAAATGTAACGGTGGTTCATACAATAAACTGATATCTATACCTAGCTCGTATCATATCAGCAGCTCGGAAGGTGTTTGCTAACTAAAATAAGAATAACAACAATAGTAATGTCTAGCGCTTACATAACATCTTTCTGTGCCAGGCGCTGCTCCAAGTGCGTTGTGTGGCTAAGCCTGCTTAATCCTCAGCAACCCTCTGAGGTAGGAACTCTTTGCCCAAGGTCGCAAATCTAGGCCGAGGCAGAACTGGGATTTGAAGCCAGACAGTCTGGTTCCAGAGTTCATGGTTGTTATGGGCTGAGTTGTGTCCCCCCAAATTCATCTGTTGAAGTCCTAACCCCTGAGTCCTCAGAATGTGACATTATTTGGAAATAGGGTCATTGCAGATGCAATGAGTTAGATTAAGACGAGCTCATACTGGAGTTGATGGGCCCCTAATCCAATATGACTGGTGTCCTTATAAAAGGGACATTTGGACACAGAGATGGGCATAGAGGGAAGGCAATGCCTCTTCAAGACACAGGGAGAAGACAGCCATCTCCACACCAAGGAGGGAAGCCTGGAGCAGATCCTTCCCTCCCAGGCCTCAGAAGGAACCAGTCCTGCTGACACCTTGATTTTGGACTTCCAGCCTCCAGAACTGTGAGACAATACATTTAGGTTGTTTAAGCCGCCCAGTTCGTGGTATTTCGTTACGGCAGTGGTAGCAAACTAGCACAATGGTCTTGTAACCAAATTAACCCAAGTGAATGAATGAATGAATGAACTGCTTGCTTTGGATGGCAATCAAACTACCCGGTCTGCCAGGCATCCTCCACTGCTCACGCCCTCGCAGGCCCCTGCCTGGCCCGCTACCTGTCGGTCTCACCTGGCATGTTTAGAGGCAGAGAGACCAAGGACACGTTAGGTCGATTATGCCTCTGATGCATTTCACAAACGTCTCCTGGCCATTTCACACCTGCATGACCTTCTTAACAAGAAGGAAGAAAGTTTTGTTTCCCTGTTTCTGGGTCCAGTTTGACACAGGGCCAAAGTGTGACGGGTCTAACGAGCACACCCAACCTCACCAACCAGCCTTGGGGTGCTCAAGTCGGGTGGCCTGGGAGTGTCTCAGCAAAATCGTCGCAGAACAAGACTGGACAGCAGAGGGCGCCACTCACACACGCTCACTGAGAGCTCACCTCAACTTCCACCTGCAAACTCCCCAACAGCCTGATTCACTCTTCCTCATCTGAGCAAATTCTACCTCACCCGCAAGGATGGCAGCATTATCCACGGCATCTGCTCTGTGCCATCACAGGGCCAAACGTCGTATGCTCATCTTATTCAGTCCTCACAACCACCCCATGAAGGAATTACTATCAATCTCCTTACTTTAGCCATGAGAAGAGCCCGACTCAGAGAGGGCAAGCCACTTGCCCAAGGCTGCACAGCTAGGAAGCGGCTCCAATGTCAGACAAATCACTCTGTTGCTCCCGAACTCTCTTGGCTTCTAAGGCTGCAGCTTTAAACTCTCAGCCATCTGCAGCACACTTTCCCCTTCCTCCCCCAGCTCGCTGCTTCTAGAAACTTCACTGGAGCATACAACTTGGAGGCAGGGGCCTCTTGGGCTGGGGGTTTCTGAGTCTTACAGGGGTTGCTTGGGCAATATTTTCACCCCTGTACACACACCCAGCCTCATTAACAGCTCTGTAACAAGAGGACTGAAATCTGGCTCCTGTTCCTTGACTCGGCTACTCACACACCAAGGGACCTTGGTCTCACCTTGAATCCCAAAGAGTGAGAGCAGAAAGGGCCCTAGACACTGTCTAGCCCTGGGATTCCAACCCAAATGTTTTCTGGGACCAGGTGGATGATGTAAACTAGTGAAGGGAGCCTGGTGTGGGGCAGCGGGGAGTGGTGGGGCCTGTGGCATCAGGAGAGAGCATGACGTCCCCTTCAGGCGCAGCCCCTTCTCCACTCCAGGTGACTCTTGCTGTTTGGGAAAGTGGGGCTCAGTGCCAGCAGATTTTCTGTTTTCACCCAGAAATCTGGATTTTTATGTGAAACCTTCTAATTTTTAAAGGTCGGAAACTAATTTAACTTTTTTCTTTTTTTTGAGATTAGGCAAAAACAAAACAAAAAGTAACCTCTACAAAACATCTGTGGGCTGGCTCCTATGCAAGGGCCATCAGTTTGCAACCTCTGACCCACCCCACCCCTTCTCCCACCCATTTTCCTGACAGGAAGACCAAGGCCCCGGAAGCAGTTCCATCGACACAGTCCAGGGCCCGCCTCACTTTAGGCTCCTCACTGTCCTTTCCTGTAGAGTGGGCTTCCTCAAGTCCTGGCCCCCATGTTCCGCTGCTGGGGAAGCAAAGCCTGAGGCAGCTCTGAGCTCAGCACCTGCAGCTGGACAAAGCCCCCTCGTGCCCCGTATCCTGGGAGCCCTGGGGTCAGCTCACCAGACACAGAGCTGCTCCTCTCCCTCCCAGCCATTCCACTCTCCCTGGGCCTGCAAATCCCCCTGGGCCTTCGACACAGCCCCTGCAGCCGGGCTATGCACCGGCGGGGCTGTACATCTCAGACCGTGTGGCAGCGGCCTCGGCCCTCACCTTCTTGCACACGTAGTCGTTGGGCAGGTAGACGACGGAGCGAAGCCTCTTCAGCATGTCGAAGATCATCTGTCGGTCACAGCCCTGTCCCCGAGAGGAGGGGAGAGAGCCCCGTTGAGAGGCAGGTGTGGGCTTGGGGCCTCCCAGAGCCTGAGGGCGAGGGCGCTGGGCAGGCGTACCTGGAAGAGTGCCACTTTGCTGACGATGTTGTAGTTCACGTCGATGGCCAGGTCCAGCCGCATCTTGTCCGGAAGCTGCACCATCAGCTCTGACTCGTCTGCAAACGAGACCCTGGCAAGGGTCAGAGGCATGGCCAGGTCCCTCCCCGGCACACGTGGGGCTGAGTCTACACTGCACTTGCTGGCCTGGGCACACCATTCCTGCTGCCAGAACCACTCTGGATTGGGACAGTGCCCTCTCTCGCCTTTCCCTCTGCCGAGAACACCTGCGTGCACCTCCCTGGCTGACTCCTACTCACTCTTCAGAACCCAGAACTAATGTCACCTCCTCCAGGAAGCTTTCCATTGAGATCGCCCCACCCAGCTATTATGTTAGCAGTTCCTGTGCTGTCATACTTATCACACCCTTTATTGCAATTGTTTGTTAGTGATCTGTCTTCCCTACTCACACTATAAGACCAACATTAGCCAGAACTAAAGTACATTGAAAATGTTTTTACAGAATGCTTTACAAAGATGAATTTATTAAATCCTCCCAGCACCCCCAGAGGTGCTCACCACCATAATCTCCACTTTACAAACAAGGAAAGGGTGCCCACGACCACGCAGCCCAGGGGTTGGAATCAGGATCCCGGCCAGGCCCTGCGGCTCCAGAGCCCGTCTCGGGAGAGCAGGAGCCGAGTCTGTTTTGCCCACCACGGGGTCTGCAGTGCCCAGCAGAGAGCCTGGCACGGAGGGAATGTGGGTGACTGGAGACAGGAAATGCACCATCTGACCCCGACCCCGATGCCCCTCCCACTGCACCACAATTACTTGTGGGCTCCAGCTCTGCATGAGCCTGGGCAAGTCAGGGCCCTCTCTGGTCTTTAATGTGCGCCCCTGTGAAAGGGGGCAGCGATACAGATGTCACAAAGCTGTCACCAGAATGGAATGAGGCAGTGGATGTGAACACACCTTGTAAACTGTAGAGCCCTGTGCACTAGCAATAGGTAACAATGAAGATTCTACTGCTCATTGTCCACAGACTCGCCAACACCCCCAGCCCAGGAGAGCTTGGGGCTGAAGTACGGCTTTCTTGAGACCAGAGGGAACCCCAGTGTGGCCCTTTTATTTGGCTGAGAGAGTTGGGGAGCTCTAGGCCCAGTGCCAGCAGACTACAAGTTTTTCGGGGACCCCGAAAATGACATCTAAGCTCTGAAAACAAAATTACTAGCTCCCCAAGATAAAAAAGAAACTGGAAAAAAACTTAAAATTAATGAACATGTAATTAGCATATTCAAATTTCATTAAGGGTCCCATCTAGAATCCTTGAAAACTTCACTACATGTGGAAACAATTTACAGGTAAGATTCTCTCACTTTGAATTACTGAGCACACCCCATTCCTGAGAAGAAAGGGGAAACAGTGGTGAATTAAATGCATTGTTGCAGCCAAATAACTTCAGAAGCAAAGTATAACATCAAAAAATTTACCAAAACAAATATATATATGTGTATATACATGGAAAGAGAGAGAGACAGAAAGACAGAGCCTCCCCTCTCTCCTGATTTCAGTGGTACGTGTATCTCCGATGGGGATGCATTGCAAGGTTGGCGAAGGTGGGTGGGGCAGAGCGTCCAGAAGACAAGCCCCTGGAGTCTTCAGGGGTCTCCTGACGGCCCAGCTTGGGGCACCTCACGAGCCTCTCCAGGCCCCTCTCGCTTAAATGTTGGGGCCGCAGCCAGGAGAAGCCCTAGTGCCGGGGCCTCGGGGACACAGGTCGAGGGCAGGCAGACAGGGCGGGGCGACAGGAGTGGGCGGGGGAGCTGGTGGCGGGGGTGGGGGTGGGGGGTCTTACCCAGCATGCCTTGGGAGTGCCAGGTGTACTCGTACCAGGTCTTGACGCGGCTCTGCACGGCCCGGGGGATCTTGTAGAAGTTCATGTACTTCACCGTGCTGTCCATGCAGCTGCGGTAGTAGGTCTGCCCCGCCGTGGCAGCCCCCACCACGTCTCTCATCTGGGGGCAAGGGTCACGGAAGCCACTGGGTCAGAGTGGGGCCATTAATGGGCTTTGGGGACGTGTGTCGTGGGCACATCTACTTTACACAGACCAGGGGTGCCTGCTCGCAGTGGGTGGGGGAGATCAGCAGACAGAGGGAACCCCATGCCCACACACGGAGGTTTTGCTGATGGGGGACATCCTGCCTCCAGTGTGGACAGGACAGAAGGAGCAAGGCTGCTGGCCCTTTGGGTGCCCTCAGGTCCGTGGGGCCACACAGGAAGGAACGCCTGGCTGTGCTGGCTGATTCTGGTACAATATGGCCCCGCGGTGCCAGAGGCCACTTTGAGCCCAGGATGGAGGACATGTGAACCCAGTGTACTGCTCCTCAGGGTGGGACCCTTCAAAGGTAACTCCTAGGACCACTGATCGTCACCTTGGGCACTCACTAGAATATGAGCTGTGCCCCTAGCACATTGGAAAGCCCCAGGGGTTTCTCTCCAAGGGAACAGCCCAAATCCTCAACCTTTGCAGAAAGCCATTCAACCCGGCTCTCCCAGATATCCCAGAAGGATTGACGTTTCAATTGGGACATGACCTCAGAGAGGGACCTCCACCACCTCCTTCACCCAGCGGGTCCCAGAGCTCCTGGCTGCTGGCTCTCGGTCCAGCGCTCTTTCCCGGGCTTAGTCCCAAAGGAATGGGCACAGATGGGGACATTCCTGGCAGCAGTGGGAGGAAGAGGGGCCCTGAAGGCAGGTGGGTGGGAAGCCAGACTAGTGACCCAGCTACCTGTCCGATCATCACGGAGAAAGCGAAGACGCCCGTGAAATAGTTCAGCAGCTGGAAGACAATTTCAAAGAGCGTCTGGGGGTCGGGCAGCCCGCCAATGGTGATGAGAGTCTTCACAGCCCAGTAGTAGCAGCGAATGTAACTAGGGAGAGAAGAGAAGGAAGACCCCAGTTATCACAGGCCCCACCCTGCCGACCCTGGGTGGCCTGGCTCTGATAGATGTGCGCTGTGCAAAAAAAACCATTTACAGCCCACAAGTGCAGAGAAACAGCCTCTCACGTGCGTAGAGCACTCTGCAGTCTGCAGGGCGTGTTTGGAGACGCTCTCCAGTCTGGTTGTGGCTCTGCCCCAATCCTGCAGGGACCTGCTGTCATCTCCATCTACAGATGTGGAAACTGAGCTTCCGGGAGATTGCTAGAAAGTGTTGGCAGGAGGATACACCAGGGTTTTCCCACTCCTGAGGCCTGGGTTTCCTCAGTTTCCCTCAATATTATTTCAATTTCCGGTCTTTCCTTTGCTATCCCATCACATTGGTTCATGGAAAGCAAAAACAACATCCAAGTTGGAAGGTGCCTCAAGGACCACCTTTTCTGACCCTCCCCCTTGCCCACTCATTTTCCGGATAGAGAAACTGAGGTTCCCGAAGGGAAAGGGAACACCCACGGCCACCAGCTGGCAAGTTCCAGAGCCAAGACTAGAACCCAGGGTGTCGTCGGCTTCTCTGAGCTGTCACCGCCCTTAGTAACCCCTCGACACAGGCTCATGAACCTTCCGGAAGGGAGGTGGGGGGGATGGGGTCCTGCTGCGCACTAAGAAGCATAGGAAATGCCCCGAGCTAGTCTCATTATCACAAAGCAGCAGGAGTCCCTCCTACGCCTGTCCACACCATCAGGCTGTGCCCTGCCAGGGGTCAGCAAAGGGCGAGGTCAGCAGGGCCGAAAGATGGGGCACTCCCAGCCGGCTTTCCTGTGCCTTCCTGTCCTCCCACCAGGGGGTTGTGAACGTTCCTGTTCTCCCACCTGTGGACACAGGAACCACTCAGTGTCCCGATATACCCATGCTTCCAGGGACCCTGCTCAGCTCTGAGATCGAGAATGTCATCCAGTTGGCGATCCTCCGGTCTGAGGATGACCCTAACCCGGTCCTCCCCTAGGCTCCAGGCACATGCTACTTATGCAGCATCGTAGTTAGAACCTGGGTTCTGGAGCCGGTCTGCCCAGGCTCAGACTCAGCTCTGCCTCTTTTTAGCTTCATAGCCTCAGCCTCCTTCTCCTAAAATGAGCATGGCAGTAGAACATCCTTCACAGAGTGATCATGAGGACGAGATGAGGTGCTAGAAGAGCGCCTGGCACGCGGTGGGCTCTCGGTAAATGTCAGCTGTCAGAGCCTTCATTGTCGGTGCCTGCCGCGTGCCTGCAGTGGGGAACAGTAGACTCGCCTGTGTCCTCAGGAAGCTCACCATCTAGCAGGGGCAGGCAAGAAAACATGCCATGAGTGCTGGGAGGGGAAAGTAGAGGTTGTAGGACGGGCTCTGCCTCTGACTCACTGCAAGGCCTTGGGCAGGGCTCTGAGCCGCCCTGCTCCTGGTTACCAGCAGGTGCATGGCCTGTGGGGTCAAGCCCCCCATCATACTGGCCTTGGCCACCAGAGGGCGCTCAAAGTGGCCTTTAGTGGGACTGAGCTGGGTGCTGTCTGGGAGCTGGGTGGAGGGGCTGCTGAGGGCCACCAACAGAAAGAAGACCTGAGTAATGTCCACAAACCTCTGGCTTTCCCCCAAAGCCTTCCTGGTTGGAGGAATCTTCCATTGGCATGGCACGTCTTAGGGGCCTCCCTGAAGTCCTTGTGTTTTCCATGCTGCTGGGTCTGGGAGGACCCCTGCACGCCCAGGCTGGGCAGAAGGAGAGCAGGATGAAGGACGCAGATGTGTAGGAACTCGAGTTTTCAAGCCCTGGACCATAGCAGGCCCTCAACAAACCATCACTATTTTGAAAGCTACCTTTATCCGTGATACTGGACTTCTAGAGGAATCTCCCTTCACTCCTTGTGCTTTTTGCATATACTGGGGTTCTCTGTAGATTTCATTTGGAAAAGAAATGTGCTGCCAAGAAAGTGTGCCCTCTCCCCCGCTGAGAAGCAAGAGCTCCCGAGGGCCCTGCGGAAGGAAGTCCCCAACGTGTCCCCGTCCTCTCCCTTCCCAGCTCTCCATTCCGTCCCAGGCCCGCCCGTGATAGGGGTGCCAGGCCCAGCCTGGGATGTGGCTTCTTAGTTTGTTGGGGTACAAACCCTTTGAGAATCTAAGGAAAGCTAGGAACCTTCTCCTTAGGAAAGCCAGCATGTTCTTAAAATTTAACTCCAATTTCCAGGGGGGTTTCTGATTCCCTTAAATCTCTGGACCCCAGGTCAGGAACCCCTTTTCTGGTATGCCGGCTTCCCCGTAAGAATGGCCTCAGCTAGGAAGTGGGGTCACCGATGCCTGTTCAGGCACGGGCTGGACATGTTACACACTTGTGTTTATTTTTTCACGCAAGAAATCTAAATGTAATACTACCCCCGTTGTGCAGCTGAGAAAATTGAGTCTCAGAAAGGGTAAAGGCCTTACCCAAGATCACACAGCAAGCTTTAAAGAATAGCTTCTGTTCTTCCCTTTGCTTAGAAGGGATCTTTGAGTCCTCTCTCTGCTCCCTTGCGAGGGGATGAACGAATGAAATCATGGGTTCAGGAGCAGGGCTGCAGATGGGTTCAGCCGAGGGGAACAGGGAACAGGGCCGGTGGTGATGCAGGGGTGTTAGGCCGTGACCCCATCCCCGACACGCTCCATCCCACACGGGTGCCAGGGTCCCCTCCTGCCTGCCCGGCCTGCCCTGGGCTCTGGAACATCTCTATATAGGTGTGGCCCCCCTCAGGCCACAGACCCACTGCAGAAGGCGACAGCCGTGGCCGCTGTGGCCGAGACTGGGGCATCGTACTGAGAATGGGACGTTCTGGATGAACAACCAGGCTACAAAAAGACCGCCTTGGACTGAGTGACTGCCCGTTCCAGCGCCACCTGGAAGAAAGTGCTTGGAGGAGGTCAAAGTGTTGACAGCTAGCCTGAGAACATTTTGCGTCACTAGTGGGCACCACCCAGGGCGAGGCAGGGCCCCCCTGAGGTGACTAACTGACCCCCTGGACTCTTCCCCCCGCCTCTTCATCACCACGGCTGACCGAGCACCCGCTACGGCCTGGCACCGGACCAGTGACTCAGACAATCTAATCCTCACAGCTGACTTCTTCAGGCTGTGGGTGGGTCCCATTGTCAGCACCCTTCTGCAGATGAAGAAACAGGCCCAGAGAAGAGAAATGACACATCCATGGTGAGCAGCTCCAGGAGTCACACCCTGGCCTCCTGTCACTAAAGCCTGTGATCTGGATCTCCAGGCTCATCCCCAATCTTGACCCCACGTGCTCCTCGTCTGCTTGCCACACTGCCCTCCCTCCTCCTAATCGCGAAACCCTTTGTCTTGACCTTTAGGTCTAACCGACAGACCAGCATCCCCCTAACTGGTTCGTCTGCTTCCCCCGTCCTCCTCCCAGTCCATCCTCCCATCAGCCATCATCATGAGAGTCACCTTTTGAGATCCCCCCCTGGGTCCTGTCATCCTCCTGCCTACAAGGCTGTGATGGACAAGTGGTGAGAGGGTCAGTGGGGGAGCTTCTGACAACCAGCCAAGCCTTACAGAGGGGGTGGTTTCCGGGATCTCTCTGTACTTCCCAATTGACTTTTCTGTCAACCTAACACTGCTCTGAAAAAATAGCCTATTAATTAAAATAATGTTAATTTTTTAAAACTGTAAAAATGTTCATACCCTTGGCCCTGCCATCCCCCCTTAGGAATTTCTTATGAGGACATAATCAGGCCAGAGGACAAGATTCACATACACAGGTGTTCACTGCAGCATCGTGCGTCATACTGAAAAAGTGGAAACATCTTAAGTGGCCAATGATAAGAAAATGGCTACACAAATGGTGGGGTTAATCTGTATGGTGGGGTATCTATATTGTGCTTTTTAAAAATTTAATGGTGGGAAAATATGCACAATTTTATGTTATTCTATTTCCTCGTTGGTGACATATTTTTTCGCATTTCTAAAATTGGGATTATCTTACAATCCATGTATACATTTAGTGTAATATTTCTTTTTTTCCCAAAAAGCTGTATTGACTCAATACTGGGTCATATAATTAACTGCATCTTAGAATCAAAGTAGTATAGTAGGAAGGAATAGGTTCCTGATCTTTCTTTTATAATCAGACAGAAAAGAAACCTTGGCTGGTTCCCCACTATTGAGAGCAGCGCCATCCAATAAAAATACGATGCAATCCACATGCATAATTTCAAGTTATCTAGTAGCCACATTTTTGAAAAGTAAAAAGGAACAGGTGAAATAAATTTCCATAATGTATCTTAGTTAACCCAAATATCAAAATTAATGTCATTTCAACAAGTAACCAATATTTTTAAAATTAATAGTAAGATAGTTGACATGTGTTTTCATGTCTTTCGAATCCCGTGTGTATCTTATGCCTCCCACACATGTCAGTGGCGCTCGCATTTCAGGTGCTCGGTAGCCTGTGTGGCTGGGGGCCACGATATTGGACAGCACGGCTCTAGAAGGTGGGGTTCCAGCTTCTCAGATGGGGAGTCTGCTTGGCAACCCGGCCTGCCTGCCTTTCCGGATACTTCCACACACCGGCCCCCTCCAGCCATGCAGGACTGCTCCTGGCTTCTCCATTATTTTGCAACTTCGCACCTTTCTTCAGGCTGCTCCCTTCCCCAGGGACTCTCTGCCCCTTCTCTCCACCCACCAAGGCCAAGATCAAACTTAACTGTTCAGCATTGACCATCCCACGCCACCATCCCCACCCCTCTACAGCACTGGGCAGATGGCACGACGTTAGGACCCTGTAGCCACGCTGCCTGGGTTCAAATCCCAGCTCTCTAACGTGTGATTTGTGTGACCTTGAGAAGTCACTTCACATCTGTTACCTCATCTGTAAAATGGGGGTGATGATAGGACCTATCTCATGTGACTGTGGGGAATATTGAGCTACTACACTAGGTGCTTAGAACAGGGCTGGTCCGTAACAAGTGTCCTCCAATGCTCGCCGCTATTATCATTATCACCATCCCCATCATCATCGTTTGAGCAGATCCCACAGTGACCGGCGGCTCTCTGGATTGGCAGGTAGGTTTCCCCTGAGTGCCTTCTCCTCCACGGCTAGTGATGCCCGGGGAGCTGTGTTGAGAAGCATTGTCTGGTCCCACTCCCACTCTGCCAGACCCATGGGGTAGAGGGGCGGACGCATGTGTGGGGTCAATTTGCCAACTCTACTAGACTTTGGGATGCTGAAAGGATCTTTCCAGCAGGTCTTGTTCATGTCTGTGCCCCCCTCTGTCTGGCACGTGCAGGTGCTCAGGAAGTGTTAGCTTAGTGCGGACGTGGAGACTCAGCACTTGAATTTGACCAGGTCAGTGGTGCCCTGGGGGCAACGTGGCCTCGGCAACATGGCGGCATGGGACTCCTTTCTGGGAGTCTTTGTTCCGTGAATTGCGGCCCTCGGGGGAGGACCGTGGCTCACCTGTTTCCCACGCCATCATAAACCCAGTGAGTGGAGCCGATGCCCTGATAGGCTGATGCCCAGTAATACAGACACGAGTTCACGTGCAAGCTGTAGAGCAGGTAGGCCGTGGTCCTGATGACCCTGCAGAAGAATGAAGGCATGAACACAGCAGCAGAAAGGGCGGCTGGGACCCCCGGCCCCCGGGGTCAGGACTGCAGGGAACAAGCCAGTCTTCACGTCCCCTCATGCCCACCTCAGAGATGCCCCTGGTGGAGCCGCACAGCCCTGCCCAGCTGCCTGCAGGATGGACGCCTGGCCGATGGGAACCAGCCAGTGGCTGGAGTGGACCAACTGGATACTCCTTTGAGACTGCACCATTAGGAATGGTGGCGCTTGAATGGAAAGTTGTCAAGGCTAGGGGCTGGAATCGGCACAGAGCTCCCTGTGCGGGCGGTCCTGGGGAGTGGAGGAGCCAGGGGGGAAATGTATCGGCGGGGAGGGGCAGAGAAGGGACAGACGCATGCGGAGAAGTGGAGAGGAGCTCGTCCCCGCATGTGGCCTTGGTGGTCTTGCGCGCCATCCTTGGACGTCCGTGAGACGGTCCGTATAACCGTTCCCCCTGTGTCTGAGCGCTTGAGGGGGTCAGTTCCCTGAGCTGAGACCAAAGTGAGGCCCGGCTCCCTGGAAACGCGGGGGAGCCGTGCATGTCAACCTGCGTGTGCCCTCCTCACAATTGGGGGAAACGGGACATTCCTGGTTCTCTAAAAAACAAACATCCCTTCGGAGAAGGGCCAGGAAGAGGCCAGGCTTCCGGTGGCGAGGGGACCAGCAGGGCCAGGGCAGCTGGAAAGGGGAAGCAATGTGGGTAGAGAATGGCTTGCTCTGTTCTGGCCGCGAACGTCCTGCGTCGTGTGTGTGCGTGTGTGCGTGTGCATGTGTGCGCGTGTGTGCGAGGGGGTCTCACCTGTAAACGTAGGCTTTGCTGAGGATGGATTCCAGGCGGTTGTTAAACTCGAAGAAGGCCATGTACTGGGAGGAAGAGAAGGGCATCAGAGCAGCCCGCTGCCGAGGGTGGCCCGCCGCCCTCACCTGCCCGGCCCACTCCCCACGGTGCCAGGGCTGAGGGCTCTTTCTGCAGCCCTTGGGGGGACGAGGCTGGAGGGTGAGCATTCACAATCAGAGGTCCTTAGCCCTCAGAGGGATGGGGATCAGACACTCCATTTACGAACCTTATTGGAAAACCATGGCACCTCTTCCCGCAGAAATTACGTACTATAATCACGTTCTCACAGTCTGCGTATCATTTCAAGGCCCTCACAGACCTTCTGAATCCTATCACGAAACTTTTAGGGGTAGGTGGGTCCCAGGTTAAGGAGCCTGTTTTCAATGCTTACTTATAAAGAAAACAATTTTATAAAGAAACAGCATCCCTCACACCCCCACTCATATCCTCCAAAGGCTTATTTATAATAATAAAATTATAATAATAACTCCTCTTTACCGAGCACCTCTGATGCCTGCCCTTTATTTTGGTGCCTTATTCCTTTTCTACATGTGAGGTATGTGTTATCGTTCTCCTTCTACAGACAGGAAATTGGCACTCGGAGCAGTTCAGTAACTTGCGCAAAGCACACGGCTGGTAAGTGACAGAGCCAGGATTCGAATCCAGATTGGACTCAAAGCTGCAAGCTCTTTTCATTATGTTACACTCCCTTTAAATCTCTGCACATATGCTGTTTGATATTTGAAGATAAATTGGTGAAGATTCCCTAAGGGACATGCTAGCTCTCGTCCAGGGGTTCATTCTAATTTCCGTCCAGAATTTGCACGAGATGCAGGAGGACCATGGGCTTGGAGCCCTTGCTTTAGGCTCAAAGCATTTTGTCCTCTAAGTTGTGCTAAACATTAGGCACCGAAGATATGCATGCTCACTACCACCATGTGAACCAAGATATGGATCCCACCTCTGCATCTGGAGTAAAACTTGGCCTGTGTATCCAACCTTCCTCACTCAACTGTTTGGCTCTAAAGCAACCTCTGAAGCCCCCAGGAGGCTGGCACGTGCCGGATAAGACTGGTGCCACTTCCCGTTTCCCCCTTCCCCTTGGCAGCCAGGAAGCTCAGAGGTAGCGTCCGTGCTCAATTCTAGCAAGGTGTGCTTTTTTTTTTTTAAAGATTTTATTTATTCAGTTTTTTCCCCCCAAAGCCCCAGTAGATAGCTGCATGTCATAGGTTCACACCCTTCTAGTTGCTGTACATGGGACTCGGCCTCGCGTTGGACGGAGAAGTGGTGCCTCGGGGCGCCCCCGGGATCCGAACCCGGGCCGCCAGCATCAGAGCGCGCGCACTTAACCGCCAAGCCACGGAGCCGGCCCAAGGTGTGCTTTCTTTTCCTCAGAGTACTTGCATTCTTCCTATTTTTCTCCACCCCGTTTCTCCAGGTGATTAAGGTTATTGCATTGGCCTCTTTTGTAAATTCCTTCATTACGGTTTTGGGGAAGAGGCATCAAGCATCATGGAAGGAGAGAGACGAATTTATTGGTTGGCCAGAAAAATCCATTTGGGGGATCCAGCGTGCTCCGACTGGCTGTCTACCCTGGTCACATTAAAGGATTGTTACCAGCTCTCCACTCCACACATGTCACCCTTGCTGGGACGCCAGCTCTGCCTCAGTGGCAGCAGGAATGACTGTAATGACACTGAGCAACAACCAATGATGAAACAGGTGTCAGGCTGCACGTTCAAATCCGTCCCCGGTGCTTCCTGGCTCCTGTGACCTGGGGCAAGTCACCCAAGCTTTCCAAGCCTCAGTTTCCCCATCTTTTGGATGAAAACCATCATAAAGCAGAAGTCTCTCTATAGTTACTGAAAGCTTAGACAGTGGAGACAGACTGCCTGGGTTCAAATCTGGACTCCACACCTTCCTACCTGTGTGACCTTGGGCAAGTTACTTAACCTCTCTGTGCCTCAGACTTCTCATTTGTAAAATACTGGTACTAACAACACTCACCTCACGGGATTGAGGAGGAAGCACCTGTAAAGCCTCCGGAAAAATACCTAACACAGGGCACCACAGAAGCCCTAGCAGTTGTAAGGAACCTCCCATCTCGCCTCAGGCCACCCCCACCCCCATGCCTCCCGCCCCCTAGTGCTGGTGCAGAGCATGGGGGAGCTGAAGGCCTCGGATGGGGAAGCCCGCTCGCTCGTCTTACTTTCAAGCAGCGGGGCAAACGCAGGAGGGGGTTCACTCCGAATTTCAAGTAGAGCAAGTCCAGGGGCAGGAGGCAGAGCACGTCCATCTAAAATCCCAGGGGACACCAGAGTGCGTAAAACTGGTACCCCCATGGCTGTGGGAAGGTGTGAGGTAGGGGGTGGAGGGGTCTCTATCCGTGATGGAAAGCTGAGGTCAGAATGCCCCAGGAGGGCCTAGAACTGAGGGCAGAAGGCGTCCCACCAACAAGCCTCTGTTTGGCTGCCCGGCCTGTGCCGTCCTGGTGGGAACCACGTCCCACGGGCCCCAAGTCCCCAGGGCCCCCAAGACACCACCCTCCGAGACCCCGCAGAAACCTGCATCCCCGGCACACACCTTAAAGCGGCGAGACTTCAGGTAGTTATCCCGCATCTCCTTTTTGTCCGTCTGGAAGAAAATAAAATCGTGACTGTGAATTGGCCTGAGAGCTTAATCCCTGACCCAGTGGGAGCAGCGGTGGAAAATCTCGCAGAACCTCCACCTTCCTCTCTGAGTAACAGCCGCATGGACACGGAACCCAGATGAGCTTCGGTGAAAGCCTGGGAGCGGGGGGCTACAGGTGGGGAGGTCGAGCCCCCAGAGGGGAGGGAGTGGTTACCCAGCTAGAGTCTGATTTCTTGGACGGAAAGCCAGGATACTGAACTTATTCTCAGCACGTTGTTCTTCCCCAGACCATCTGCAACCTTATTTACCGAAGAGCTGGCAACTGCTCTGATCGGGCCAGGAAAGAGGTGGCCCAGGGAAGGCCTTGTCCTCTAGATTGTTTTAGAGGCACAACCTCCCCTTGTCTGTACACAGGGGTGCAGGCTCTGCTAGGGTGGGATTCTGGAAAGTGACCTGCACCAGGAGACGAGAACTGTGCCTCCTGCTTCTGCCAAGTCACAATCAGGACTTCAGTTCCCACCCAGTAAGTGCAGTGGGCTCTTTGCAGGACCCAGGATATGTCAGTTACCAGCAGTTACCTGTGCTGAGCACCCTGAAGACATGACCTCTGTCCATCCTCACAGCAATGCTATGAAGGGGGAAGAATTACTACTCCCATATTACAGAAGAGGAGACTGAGGCTCAGAGAGGTAATACAGCTAGTTATGGTTGAGCCGGGATTTGAAACAGGTCCACTTGCACTAAAGGCCATTCTCTGGACCCCTTTCCATCTCTGATTCCATCAGGTGGCCCAGGAGCCGTTTCGCCCACAAGCAATATTTGATGTGCATAATTTGAATACATCAAAGGTATTGTGCTGTTGAATAAACACGGGCAGACTTCCTGTGATTTCCCTGTTCATTTATCTTGCTGTCAATCGTGGCATCGGGGGTCAGTCCCTCAAAGGCTCTGGCTGCAGGGTCTGCCCCCGGCCACCCCCTCTTCCTGCCTGTGACTCACAATGATGTCCCCTCCTCTGACAAACTGCAGGCGCAGCTGGAACACGGTGATGTCCAGGAGATAGATGAGGTCGCACAGGTAATCCATCAGCAGCCAGAGGTGGATGTTGTCCGGGGTCTGGTAGGGGAAGGCCCAGCGCACGGGAATCAGCCAGCAGTTCCAATTCCAGGCCAGCACCACGAAGAACAGCCACAGGATGTACATCAGGTCTGTGGGGAAGGGAGGGGGCAGGAATGTGCGAGAACATCAGCTGGAGAGGGCTCCTCACGGTGGGATCACGGTGAGGCTTTCTTCTTTCCACATGTCCGTCTGCACTTTCCTACAAACACTATATGTGGCACCTCGGTAACTTGCGGGGAGGAGTGTAAAACTATCTTTGGTTAAAAAATAAATCACCGCTAGGCTCTAATAAATCAGAGTACTCTGAGGAGGGGATATGGGGGCATTATTAGACAATAGATGCCAACTAGAAAACACTTCTGCTTTCAACCTTGTTGAAGTTTCTCCAAAAATGTATTTCCTACCTTAGTAAATACACAACAGTAAACCTACAAGATGGACAGATGGATACATGGACAGGTGGTTGGATGGTTGTATACCGTAGGTCACCTGGTCATTTTAGAGAACCAGTGGACATCAGGGCTGGAGTTCTGTCCCCCAAATGACTTCTTGTGTGACCTTGGGAATGTCCCCTCTGGCACCAGCCCTGCCCTCCTCAGAGAAGTCACAAGCGGAGGCCAGATAAGAAAGGCAGGGAGATCTTTCGTGAACTGTAAAGTGCTGTGCGCATGTGAAGGGTTGTTATTCCTGAGGAATGTATCGTGGGCTAAAAGGGAAGCGAGAGGAATTCACTTTGACATTGGAAGAATTTCTTCCCTTTTCTGCTCAGAGCAGCAGCTCCAGGAAGGAGCCAGCGAGAGCAGAGTAGAAGAAAGACAGGGCCAGGAGTCGGAGTCCTGGGTCTCCATAACTAGTTGTGTCTTTAGGGTGGTTAACTTCTCTGTGCCTTAGTTCTCTTGTCTGTGAGATGGGTATGATCTCATGTTCCTATGCCAGGGATTTTTTATTTGTTTTGGGTCATGCACCTTGGAGGTCCGCAGCCTCCCAGCCCACCTCTTGCACTCCCTCCCATTCTCCTGCCCTCTCATGTTACAAGGAGGCAATGCCCATTGCCCACCCCGGACTCACTGGTCAGCGGGTCGATGCTCTGGGGAAACTGGTACTTCTTCCATGGGCGGCGTTTGAACTTGCAGCAGAGCATGTCGCAGTAGTGCCCCTCCTCCTCCTGCCCCACCTCAGCCGGCTTCGTGTCAGGGGCTGGCTCTGGGGCTTTCTTGGCTGGGGCTGTGGGATGACACTGGTGACCATCTGACCCAGCCCTGAGGCTCAGGGAGAGGATCCAGAGAGAAGGCTCCCAACTACAGACCCTGCAACCAGAGCCGAGGGGACCCTGGCACCATCCCACAACCCACTGTAAGCTCTGTGTGTGGAAGCCACGTGCTCTCCTGGAGCAAACCCCACAGCTCCCTCCTTAAGAGCAACCTGGGCACCAGCCCAGAAACTCTTCCCAGCTCAATCTGGAACTGCTTCTCAGGAGCCGCCCCAAATGAGGTGTTTCTGGGCCAGTTGGATGTTTCCAACCTGAGTGTCTGCTGTGTGTCTGTGTTTGGACCCCTCTGGGTCCCTCTGCAGGGCCGGGAGAATTTCATACCCGGGACTTCCACTACCCTGGGCCAGAAATCAGGAAAACATTGCTCTAGGTTTTGCAGAGCAGAAATCCCAGCTTCTTCCTCTCTAAAACAAGACATCGAATGGGATCACAGCCTTCCTGTGCATCTATGGTGATATTGTTGGTGACCTAGAGGTTGGCTCTTGTAAGTTCAATATGGCTATGTTTCTGGCTTTAGGATTGTGAAGTCAGGCTCTGCTAGATCCATGGTTGGCACCATGAGTTCTAAGGCACAGCCCTCCTTTGGAAAGACCTAGAAAACCTCCTTGGTAAGCGAGCATGGGTCTTATTTTCTCCGGGAATCTTTTTTTTTTTTTTTTTTAATATTTTTTTTTTTTTATTTATTTTCCCCCAAAGCCCCAGTAGATAGTTGTATGTCATAGTTGCACATTTTCTAGTTGCTGTATGTGGGACGCGGCCTCAGCGTGGCCGGAGAAGCAGTGTGTCTGTGCGCGCCCGGGATCTGAACCCGGGCCGCCTGCATCGGAGCGCACGCACTTAACCGCTAAGCCACGGGGCCGGCCCTCTCCTGGAATCTTGAAAGCAGGAACCTTTCAGGTAGCCCCATAAGAATATTGCAACTGGGGCCTCTGATAAATAAGACTGTCTAGTTTCAGAGTAGGCTATGGACACCATCTGAGTGTGTGACATGAGATACGTCCCAGGGTAGACCACCTGCCTGCCTGTGGGAAAGGGGCAGAAGGGTCAGTGAGGGTACTTGCTGTGTGGGAGGGGGAGGGAAGTACAACAGGATAGCTGGTTGGAACTTTGACCTTCTTCCCTCCCCTGGCTCCTGTACATACAGGACCCAGAAATCCAGAGAGTGGGGATCTTGGCTTTTCTCATGCACCCCACCCATTTCCTTAGGGCCATTCTCACTGTGAGTTGACAGGGGGCTTTTGGGGTTCCATCCCACCCCTGGCCGGGTGGGCCATGTCCAGCTCTGGACTCACAGGGCTTGGGGCTCTCCTCATCAGAGGTGATGTCGGGGTCGATGAGTTTTTCCTTCACCTTCTCTGTCCGCTCCTTGAAAAGCTTCACCAGCTCCTGCAGCCGGTCGTTGATGATGGCGCTGTTCTGGCTGGCGGTGGAGGCCGCGCGGTCCTGGTCACTGAGGAAACACCACCCAAAGCTGAGTGGGCATTCCAGGAAGGGACCTCTTGCCCCAGGCAAGAGCAGAACAGGGTCTGCATCCCACCTGGGCTGAAGGAGGCAAGTCCTGCCCATCTCCTTCTGATATCAGAAACATCAAACCAACTTTAATATCTCTGAGGAGGAAATTCGGTCTGGGAGTAACGGCCGGGTGCTCCGGCCCAGCTTTTAGAAAATGTACCATGGAGGCTCTGATTCAGATGGGCGGTTCTGGAAAACCTTTGATGCCATTTGTAATTTAGAGGGAAACACTTGTAATTTAGGTGGGGCTCAGGTGAGATACGTGTGTGAGACAGATCAGAGAGGGGACACGGCTGCTTTTCCAGGCTTAGGAAATAGCTGGTGGGAAAAACCATGCAGATACATTACATATCCTTTAACTGATAGGAATTTAAACTGCATGCAGTTGCAGCAAGAGAGAGATAGACAGACAGAGAGAATGAATGAGAGTCTCCTGACATTCCACTCAGCGTGGGGCCAGGGCCCTGGGCGAGTGGAGACGGGCCGTGAGTGGCTCTCCCCTGAGTGGCCTCACTGTGACCATCTCACTGAGCTGAGTGCGGTACTAGCGTTGATAGATCCATTTTCTTTTTCTTACATCGAGGCACTGAGACTCAAGCCAGCTTCTCCCCCTGTGCTCAGGTGAGGGAGCTGAGCTGGAGACAACCAGTGTGGGGGTCCCAATGAAAGATGGCTCCCGGGTGTGCTGGAGACATGAGCTGCTCACCCACACCTGTTCTCTCCTGTGGGGAGTAGCCACTGGGACGTGGACACCTGGCTGGGACCACATTTCCCGGGTGTGGCCAGGCGAGTTCTCACCAGCGGACCGTGAACAGTCATGACACATGTAACTCCAGCCTCCTTGTCAAAGAGTGGCCTGGTGTTCTCCCTTTCCAGTGGTGACCAGCAGGATCTTGGAAGCCACATGAAGGTGGCAGAGCTGCTGTCAGCTGGGTCCCTAAATGACTGCATGGAGCAGAGCCTTCCGCTGACTTGAAACATGCAACTAATGACATGACTATGACACATGAGACATCTTCTTGGATCTTTGGGGTCTATTTGTTACAGAGGCTTAGCCTATACATGGGTCTCCATGTTGACTGCCTTAAGAGTTTTTAGGGGTAATTTTTATTACTATACCTGATTTCTGCCTTATTTTCTGATATTAAACCCTAACCCTATCCCTCCCCTACTGCATAAGATGTGACTGGACCACTGGACTGTGGGTGAGGTTTGGATTGGTTTCCTGTTTCTTTAACTTTTCTGAACTTTCCACTACTCTGTTAAACATAAACTCCATAAGATTATGGATGGAAAGAAAAGACTGGAAGAAAAGCCCAGTGTCTCCTGAGGCCACTCCAGGAGGTGTGGCTGGGGAGCAGGATGGGGGTCCCAGAGCCCAGGGCTGGAGGATTCACCATCAACAAGGCTACTCAAACTCTTCAGGAAAACATCTCCCATTGGCCCAGCCCTTAGGATAGTTAGATGTAGAGACACATGTCCCAACGCCCTCGCAGTGGCCTCTAAACATTGTCCCACAGACCAGCTGCATCCCAGTTGCCTGGGAGCTTGTAAGGAGGTGGATTCCCCAGGGCCTGCTGTCTGAGGTTCGGTGCACAGCTGGGCCCACAGTCTGAGCCCATTCTGCAGATTTTGCAGAACTCCTGGGCCAGCCAGAGGCAACCTGGGCAAGAAGCCCACTCCTGTCTTACTACTTGGAAGCCACTGGCAAAGCCCCCCTTGTGGTGGAGGGTTCTAGGAACATCCATGCTCCCCCTCACTCACCTCCCCTTGCCCGCCCATCCCCACCCCACCTTCTGACTCTCTGAGACCCCAGAGGTGGCCCCCACTCACTCAGTGCCCTGTGGGGTAGGGGGGTCCGACCAGGCAACCATGGGGGACTCAGCTGGCAACAGCACCTTGAGCTCCTCGGCCTCATCATCTTGGGAGGGCAGCCTCTTCCTGCAAGGACACAGACGTGGAAGGGCCTTCAGCGAGGGCAGGGGCCCCAGGGGGACGTGGACTGACTTTGAGCCCCGCAGATCACCCAGAGCCGAATCCTGGGTGGGGGATGGTGCTGCCAAAGGGTCCTCGCTTGCCTGCAGGGAGACAAAAAGTGAAAAGAGAGGGGCATAGCCACTCTCTGGACCTCAGTCTCCACATCCGTTCAATGGCCTAGCGTAAAAGTAACAGCACTGACTTGGTATCAGACAAACCTGAGCTTGCCTCCCAGCCCTGCCTCCTCCCAGCGTGTGACCTTGGCAAGCTACTTAAACCCTCTGAGCCACCTCAGTTTCCCCCTCTGTAGAATGGCACTAAATCTACCCAACTAAATGAGACACATCACTCAGCCGGGTTGTAGCTTAAACGTCCTTCTTCCCCCTCCCAGTCTAAAGTAGCTGCCTTCCAGCGCATCCCCCCTCCATTCTCTATCATTCAACCCTTCCAGCTACTAGAGAAGGCCTGAGGGCTCACGGCCCATCTGGTTAACTCTCCTGGAAGCTCAGCCTCCCTCCCTTTGCAGATGTGCCCCCGGCTGGAAAAGAAAACACTCTTGAGCCATGGAGACTGGTCTCCCAGCTCATGGTGTGACCTGGGGCAAGTCCCAAGCCCCATCTCCACCCGGAGCTCCAGGTTCCCTATCTGAAGAATGAAGACTAAGTTATCCCCGGGGTCCCCTGCCATTGAGTCCAAGTCTGCCATGGGGCGCTGCATTTGGAGCAAGTAGCATTTCAGCGGATGGTGTCTAGGTGTGAATCCACCTGGCACTCTTTTGATCCTCAACCTCCGTGACTCAGGATTCCACCATTAGGGCTTCTGGAGGGACACAGAAGGAGGGATGTGCAGCATTTGCCTTTATTCCAGAAGGTTCTGAAACTATCGTATCACCTATGCCAACTCGCCTAGAATGGCAAAAGTCATGGGTTCACCTCTTTGACACTCTAATTAAAAGGACGGCCACGCGCGAGAAGACTGAGGCCACAAGTTCCGCAGGTGGGACCTAAACTCAGTCCTGTGTCCAGCCCGGTGCCCTCTCCTGAGCCTGGAGGGCACGTGCTGCCCCAGAGAACCCAGATGTGAGCTGAGTCAGCAGCTGTCCCCCAGCAGCCTGGCGCCCGGCCCCGTGCTGGGAACCTCACACGCAGCAGCTCCTTGAATTCTCACAACATCCCCGTAGACAGGTGGTGTTCTATCCTCATCTTATAACAGGAAGATGGGGGCCCAGGAAGGGTCAGTGACTTGCCTGAAGCCTCACATCCACTAAGTGGTGAGCTAGGATTCACTCCAAACCGCACTCTTAAGCTGTGGGGAGGGCCTTGCCCACGTGCCCCTCTGTCAGGGCCTGTGGTTTTTCTGCTCCCATCAGTTGCCCCCAGTGCTCATTCCATCCCTGACCACGGGCAGCCCCGCTGGCCTATTGCATCAGGCATCAGAGTTCACCTTTCTCAGGGCTAAGCTCAGGCAGAGGCCCCCCAGTTCCTCGCAGTCACATCCTACTTAGCACTTTCTGGAATAGTCTGTTTGTTCGATTACTTGTTCATTGTCTCTCTCGGCCCCACTAGAATGGCAGCTCTGTGAGGGCAGGCCCTGGCAGCTTTTCCTTGATGCATCCCCAGCACCTAGAGTAGAGCCTGGCTCATAAAGATGTTTAGTAAATGTCTGCGAATTAATAAATGAATAAATGAAATGGGTGAGAGGAGCCCCACAGGCCCAGCCCGTAAGCAGAAGGCAGGAGGCTTGGATTCTAGTCCCAAGTGATCCTAGGCCCCTCCTTGCCCCCAAATATCCGCCCCCAACCCAGCCTGTACAGTTTCCCTACCCTTATAATGTGAGGGAGGTAGACCAGATGTCTATAACCATGGTGGTGCCATTTCTTCCATTGTCTGTACTCTGTACATAATTCAATGAATTAAACATGAGGACTGATGGGGCTGTGAGCTGTGTTGCACGGCTAGGTGACATTATGACTCTTTTCTCCACATTAAAATCTGAGAGCCCCCTCTGTTTGCCACATCCAGCCATCTCCATTCTGGCAGGCTCCTGGCCTCAGCTGAAAAATTACTCAAGGGCTCATGGATGAGAGCAAAAATTAATCAAGAACCCTCTCTCAATCCAGCCAGTGCAGGAGAAGCACCAACAGCTCCCCTTTGGCTTAAATGTAGTCATTCACAAAGCACTGCACAGCACTTCACAGTTTGCTTACAGCTGTATGCAGGACCTCTCTCAGTTACCTGGCTCACATTGCCCAAAACCAACTCTAACCATGCAGCAACAAATTTATCTCAAGAGGCGTAAAAATGTGTGCAAATTTGACCAAGAATCCCACTCGTGAGAAAGGAGCCCAGGCACAGAGAGCAGAACACCAAAGAGATGTTCATAACACCATTATGGACAGTTCCCAACAAAAGGGAATTTGTTAAGCCCATTCTGGCACATGGAGTTGGAGGAATATCATGCAGCCATCATAAATGTGTGTTAAGGAGACAGCCTGGCAATGTGGAAAAGGATTCACTAAATGAGATGTGGTCTCAAATCAGATGTGATCCAAATCACTCTTTCAGTTAAAACCACATAAAAGCATGGGCCCATCAACAAAGTATAAAAGAAAAGGCAGAAATATAAAAACACCATCTAGTGTGGTGCGTTATGGATGATTATTTTTCTAGCGTTCTTTGGTATTTCCATTGCATGATTTAATAATAAAATGAGGGGGTGGAAATTAGCCCTGTCACATTTATTACCCCTTTCTAACATACATTTGAGGTTTTTGGGGACAGGGCTTCCTGGAGAGCTCTTTATAGAACCCGAAGCCAGGACTCAGGAGAACCAGGAAGCGAGGTCACAGTCCCACTTCTGACACCAACTTGCTGAGTGACCTTGGGCCAGCTGCTTCCCCTCTCTGGCCCCAATCTCCTCTCCTGCCAAGTGGACAGGTGGTGCAGTGCTGTGAAAAGTCCAAGAGAAGCAGAAAAGTTGACCTGTGGTTGCCTGCGGCGGAGCCTGGGACTGTGAGTGTGTCAGACTTGGCAGGAGAAGGTGGTGGCAGCACAGGCGAGGGTGGACTCTCCTCCACGGTGAGGGGGTGGCTGTCAGCATCAGCATCTTCCACCTGCACTTCTGGGTGCTCTTCTGTGGCAGGCACTTGGGGAAGAGGAGAGGACAGAGTCAGAGAGAGAGAAGAGCCGGGTCCTGGGGGCCTTGCTGTGTTATTGAAGGAAGGCACAGAAAGCATGTTTGGAGGGACCTCTGCCAGCATCACCCCCCGACGGGGCCCACAGGGGAGCTCCATGCAGGGGGTGCAAGAATGCAGAGCCCACGTCCCTCTGAGAGCCACGGCCACCCCAGCCACCAGCACACGAGCCACAAAAGAAGCAAGAATGCCACAGAAGCCATGGAAGCCACAGGAGCTCCTGGACGCAGCCTGAAGTCCGGCTGTTCAAAGCCCAGCCTGGTTTCCCTGGGCCTGGAGAAGCATCAAGGACTCGGGGTTGGGGGAGGGGGATGGTAGCACTCAGCGAGGATGTGGGGAGCCTGGGGGAGCCTGAGCCCCAGGTTCTGGCCTAGCACAGCCTGGCTCAGCTGCTTCCCTCTCTGGGCCTCAGTTTCCCCATCCCAAGGTAGGGAGTCTAATGCCTTCCCAGGCCTGTGGGGAGGTGGGGCAGGAGGGCACATGGCCTCGCGCTCTTGAAGGGCCTCAAATGGAGACATCTGGAAGTTTCCTCCAATCAAGGGTCACAGCCTGTCTTTGTAGTGTATGTTACCCCTGTTTGGGTTCCTGTTTTGGTATTTCCTTGTTTTTGTACATGCCAGGAGCCCCCAAAATTCATCAACCCAACTCCTCTTCCAACCTCCGAGAGGCCTGGTGCCATGTCCCACATCCTGAGAATCAGGTCCTCCCTGAGAAGCCTGAGTGTGGCCCCACCTCAGGCTTCATTACCCACCCCAGGGACGGTGGGACAGGTCTGCCCGGGGTGGAGCCCAGAGGATGTTGAGGGGCCGGGATGGTGCCCCCACCCCCACCATGCCTGGGTAGGACCACTGCAGCCAGGCGCTGGCCTGAGCACTAGCAAGGCAGCCACACACACCCCAAAATGGGGAGGGGGAGCATTTTGAAACACTTGGATATGTGACTTTTTTTTTTTTTCTGTGAGGAAGATCAGCCCTGAGCTAACATCTGCCAATCCTCCTCTTTTTTTTTGCTAAGGAAGACAGGCCCTGGGCCAACATCTGTGCCCATCTTCCTCCACTTTATATGGGATGCTGCCACAGCATGGCTTGCCAAGCAGTGTGTGGGTGCGCGCCCGGGATCCGAACTGGTGAACCCCGGGCTGCTGCAGCGGAGCACGAGCACTTAACCGTTTGCGCCACCAGGCCAGCCCCAAGACTTTTTTTTTAAATGGCCATCATGGGAAAAGCCAGCACTTGGTGGAGTTTGGTGGAGGAAACCTAAGCAGGCCTCGAGACCTTTTGGCATTAATTTTACTAAACCCTAAGCCCTCAGGGGAAGAGGATGAACAGGAATCGAGAAGTTTTAAAAAATTTAAGGAAGAAGTTTTGCCAGACTCACGAGATGTCCCAGGCTGTGGAAAGCAAGAGAGGGCGTAAGGCAGAGGGGACCTGACCCTACTTCCCCTAGACCTTGGGAGGTGCGAAAGGCGAGACTGGGCGTGGAGGCAGCCAGGACTGCGGCAGCCTCTCAAAAATGCTCAGGGGAGTGGCCGAGTGGTTAAAGTTCTGCACGCTCCGCTTCGGTGGCCTGGGGTTTGCGGGTTCAGATCCCAGGCGTGGACATACTCCAACCATCAGCCATGCTGTGGAGGCGTCCCACATACAAAATAGAGGGAGACTGGCATGGATGTTAGCTCAGGGGCAATCTTCCTCACCGAAAAAAAAAAAATTGCTCAGTGCCCCAGAGTGCCCCTAGCATGGCCCCCGGGCAGCAGAAAGCACCCTGGCCCCAGCATCCGTGAGGCTGTCTCAGGGAGTCTGGTGGGGACAGATGCTCCCCTCGCCCCTGCCCTGGCTTGGGAAAGACCCTGCAGCCTCGATTGTCCCCAGGGAGGAGGGAAACCCCTCAGTCTAGTATCTCATTTCCCGCCAGCCTGGCAGAGTGGCACTCAAAATAGAAATTATATTGGTTTATATTTTATTGATTTATAGAGTAAGAGTAATACTATTAAAAATATAAAGAATACGGTTGTATGATTAAATTGGTTTAGAGAATAATACTATTTACTGCTAAGCGCTTCCTCGGTCCCTGCCAGGCGTCTGTCTGTCTCACTGAACTCTAAGTGCTTTATATCTATTTGTTCTCTCACCCTTCCCTGCCACTCTTTGAGGTCCTGGTATGGTTGTCACCATTTTGTGGATCAGGAAACTGAAGGTCAGAGAAGTTAAGAAACTTGCTGCAGAGCCAGGATTTGGACCCAGAGCTCAAACTCTCATCCCAACCCGAGGTTGGAGAGCAGCATACACAGAGGCCTCTGTTCAAACAAAACCTCAGCTCGGAGGCGCCAAGCAGCAATATTCCCATGGGAATAACATTCTTATATGCGCTGTCATCGCCTTGTCCGCAGCATCTAAAGTCACCGTGTGTCACACCACAGCCGGTTTAGTCCACTGACCCAATGTATCAGCGGGGATATTTCTCAAAATGTGTGGCTCCCAGGGACCACGGAGGACACAAGATGATTTTAGACGGCACAGACGAGGCAAAGGATAACATGGAATGAGAACATTCTCCTCATTTCAATTCTCTCTGGATCCTGAATACGCAGAGAGGAAGTCTCAAATTAATGCTATTGTGGCCTTCACACCTCTCTGACACAGCTAACCCATTTGTGGCTGGGAGAGCAGGCCCCGGCTGTGAGCCCGCGGCAGGCCACTGTGTTTCACCAGAAACTATCCACACCACTTCGTCTTCAGTGCATTTGTGGTTTTTTCTATGTATGCCTTCTGTTTGCGGCAAGCAATGCTAGTTTTCATTTTACTAGCAATGTAAGGTTTCCTGTTTAAATACACTTAATTAAATAAAAAAAGGAATCCATTGACAGCAAAATAGCAAGCAAATAAAAGTAGAGTTGGTACAGAACATAGCAAAAATCAAGGAGTGATGTGTGGCAATGGAAGTTGGGGGAGCCTTTGGAGTGAGTCGATTTAGGGCTTGCTCAGAAGACTGAGCCTGGGTGTCACCCCTTGTCACGCCGTGTGCCACCTCACCCCACCCTGTGCCCACCCCCGAGCCAGGAAGGGGAGAGACGGACAACAGTGGGTCTCTCCTCATGGAATGTTTGGTTCTGCCCGTCTTCTGATCTCAGGGGCAAGCTTGCCCAGTGTCATCCAAAAATAAACAAGTCAAAGGGAAAGTGGGCAGGTCTGGCTTGAGTTAAGGCAGAAAGTGACGGGGGCTGGCCCAGAGGCACCAGGATGTCCCTGCACCCTCTGTCATCAGGCAGCAGGAGCCTGAAGGCCGCTGCAGGGACCTTGTCACAATTAAATGGATCCAGACAGGCCCTCTCTCTGCACTGGCCCCTCACGGGGCCGCTCCTCCTGCTGTCTGTCAACACCTGGGGGACTTTCCTTTCCTGAAATGGAATTTCCTGGGCAGATATCAACAGTCCTCAGAAAGTCCAGCTCCCAGCAAACTCTCAAGGTCAGTAGATTCTGTCTGCAATGAACCTCTACATTCCTCTCGTTTCACTCTCCATTTATTCTCTTCCCCAGCCCAGCTCCCTGCCCCAAGCCTCTTGGCCTGGAGAGCTGGGCGACTTGTTTAAATTAGGGTGTGAGTGACCGCCTGTATAAAAAATGATGATCTGCAGAAAGCAACGTTTAACCCAAAGAAATGAATTGCTAACTGTGGAGTTTTAGGCACAGAGAGAAGGGGACTAATACCCCTCAAGTCACCACAGAGCAAGAGGAAGGCACTGATCAGCAGAGGAAGAGGGGGTGGTTTTCTGTAAGCCCAGCTAGTTGTCCCATGCCATGACCATGGCAGCCATGCAGGAAGCAGCCCAAGCTATGCAGAAGCACACTTCGCGGGCATGAGCATGCTGGGTGGGCCTACACTACCTAGGCGACGGATGGAGCTCCTGGTCTCCCTGGCGAAACTGGAGCTGGACAAGGCCGTCCTCCGGTTGATGAGGACGGGGATGCGGGTGATTGGGGGGCGGTAGCTGGGCACGTTGGGGAGGTGCTCCGCCAGGCTTGGGGGGGCAAGCTTGGGGGCCACCTGGCCAGGCGGCGGGTCCTGGACCAGGCGACTCAGCTCCATGTCCCAGCCTGGGTTAGCCATGGTGCTGCGGCCAGGGGGTCTCCGGCAGAGGCAGGACCCTGGGGACTGCAAAGAGGAGCACAGAGGACAGGGAGGCCGGGGGGGCAGGGCTCCAACCCGCTGGCGCCAACACAGACCAGCCCAGCCCCCGCCTGCGCTCGCAGTGGCTGTGCCCAAAGTCTGGAGCACCACTGGTCCCCAGAGTTTAATGCCAAAAGCATCACCAAGTCATGTGGCAGGTCTACCCACCAGCCCTGAGGGGCAGCCCGAGTCCCCCTACTTCTTGTTCTCTCCCTTCTAACCAGCCACCAGCAGCATTTCCCATCTCAGACTCAAAACAGAATCAAAGAACCCCTAACTCCTCAGACTCCTGGGCTCACAGCCTCGGGACTCAAACGTTCTCAGCCCATCAGGATTTCCATCCCTAAAGAACCCTAGAGCTCAATGAGTTTCACTTCCAACCAGAAGCAGTACCTTTCCCCAGGGCGCTGGTTCCCCAACTGGGCTGCACATTGGAATCACCTGGGGAGGTTTGGAAATGCTGATGCCCGGGCCCAACCCCAGAGATTCTGATTTAACGGTCTGGGTGAGGCCTGGCACCGGGATTTTTAAATCTCCCCAAGTGATTCCAATGTGCCGCCATGTTTGAGAAGCAGGGCTCAAGGCCATGGTCTCCAAATACTAATGTGAGACAGATCATCAGGAGATCTTGTCACAATGAAGATTCTGCTTCAGCAGATCTGGGGTGGGGCCTGGGATTCTGCATTTCTAACCAGCTCCCAGGGGACGTCAAAGCTGTGGGTTCTAGGTCCACCCTTTCTAGCAGCGGCAGACAAATGGCTGTGCCTCAGCGTTTCTCAGAGTGTGGTTCCCAGACCACCTGCTTCCAGATGACCTGGGGAAGGGGGTGGAGCCAGCCCCATGGATCCTGAGTCTGCACCTGGGTGACCTGGTCTTACTCACCTGTGTGGGGTGCAGACCAGGAGGTTTCCTACAGACACGTGTTGAAGTTGACGGAGGACATTTATCAAAGGCCGGGTGGGGAGCCAGCTGGGGACATATGGGGTTAGGACAGTGGGTCCAGACCATCTCAGTCGCTGGCTGGCTGGGAACACGAGCATCGTGGTGCCATGTGGCCCCCCCCCTCAGTGCCAGCCCCAGTGCTGGGTGCCTTTGACACATTGTCACCCCTACTGTGCCCAACAACCCTGTGAGGTAGGTACTATTATTGCCCCATCTTTCTCGATTTCGGAGCCACAGCTAAGAGAGGTCACAGAACTGGCTCCAGGTCACACAGCAAGGAAGAGGGAGGAGCCAGGAGTGAAACACAGGTCTGGGCCCTTGACCACTTGGCCAAATGCCGCCCACACGGAGAGTCAGTTTTCTCATCTGTGAAATGGTCTGTCTTCCCCACGGGGCGGCTGGAGCGCCCGTGGCTTGAGGAACGTGGAGGCTTGTAAGTCCAGGGCTCCAAGTCCATCTGTCCTGGGCTCCATGACCCAGCTATCCTCGGCTCCCCTAGGCTCTGTCCCCACTGTCTCTGGAGATCTCAGGATTTGGGGGGACAGTAAATAATAGCAAAGTGCGTGTTCTGGGTACAACCTGGAGATCTTAGCAGTGAGAAAGAGCTCGACAACAGAGGTGGAGTCTAGGACACGCCCTTAGCAAGCTCTGGTCCCAATTTTCTCTGTCACGTTTGAGCCAAGCCCTCACAGGGTGGTGGCCCAGAGAACGGTGTCCCCAGTGAGGGGGTGGCCGGAGGGGTTGGCTGGGAGCAGGGTTTCCCCAGGCCCACTGGGAATCCTGGGGAGGCCTCAGTGCAATTCCAAGGTGCCCTGGGGCCTTTGAAATCCATCACCAGGCGCTGACAATGTGGCCCCAGGACACAGAGGATGGGCAGATGGAGGGGTGTAGGGAGTGTGGAGATGGACGGGGAGGAGGTGGGGTGCCCCTGGCCCAGGCTGCCCCCAGCCTGAAAGTATCCTGGACACTCTGTGCAAACCCACCACCCCCACCACACACCTACCTCCTGAGTGGGTGGCCACAGCCTCCTCCTGCGGGTCCTGCAAGAAATGAAGCGCGATCAGAAGCTGTGAGCACCAGCCCCCCCAGCCCTGGTCCGGCCCAACCTCTGTCGGGAGACCCGTCCTCAGGAGTCCTCATGGGCCCAACTCTACTCCTGGCCCTGCCCGGCCAGTCAGGCCCTGCCAGCCCACCTTTTGGGGCACCCAGGGAGGTGGCCTCCAGCCTGTAGAGGGCAGTGCACACGGGAGCCCCAGGCCCCAACACCTGGACCTGTCACATATCACGAGGGGGTCTTCTCAGGCAGCCCTGTGCATGTGTGGACACAGCGCTGAGGGCAGACACCATAGCACTCCCCACCATGGGCACAGCACTTCACAGTGTACAACTGTGTGCAACACCCTGGGGAGGGGTTTTTAGCCCTATTTTACAAAGGTGGCCACTGAGGCCCAGAGTGGGGAGGTGACTTGCCCAGGGTCACACAGCCTTGTGAGGACCGAAGGGCAGGTCCACCTGCTGTGTCACCCAAGGCCCTTCCCGACACCATCTGAGGTACAAGCGGGCCTCACAGGACCTACCCCCTACTCCCCTCTGTCCGGTGGGCATCTCACCAGCCAGAAACCCCCCTGCAAACACAGTGGACAAGGCCCCACCCCCTTCCACCGCCGCCAGCCCAGGCCTCAGGGGTGGCCCGGGTGCCGGGCTGGTGCTGCTCCATACCTGGGGTGAGGCCCTCTGGTGCTCGGTCCCGTCTACTCTGCTTGGGTCCTCGCCACCCTGTGCCGCCAGATAGCTATCCAACAGGATACTGTGACTGGAGGGGGAGGAGGAAAGGGCTGGGGTTAGCGGTGTTAAACATTTCCTGAACACTGCTGAGTGCCAGGCTCTGCGGGGAGCTGGGGCTCAAAGATGCCCAAGAATAGGTCCTCGCCCATAGGAGGCTCCCAGCACATGGGGTCAGCAGATCCATGTCCTGCTAACAATCTTCCAGTCTGAGACATGCGCTGAGCAAGGGGCTGTGAAGGGCACAGCCACAATTCTGCCTAGGAAGGAGGGCTTCCCAGAGGAGGTGGCCCATGAGCTGGGAATGTTATCCAGAAAGGAGGAACAGCATGTGCAAAGAAAAGCATGGAGAATGGTTTGGGGAACTGTCCTCTGGGATGTCAAAGGGCACTGGATAGCGTTCAAAATATATGGCTAAAATTTCCCTTCTGAGAGTCTGCAGGCAACCTTGGTGATGCAAGCAGGGCAGGGAGGACGAGAAAAGTAAAGCCCAGAGAGGTGAACCGACATGGCGAAAATCACACAGCAAATTGTCCCAAACCACACGAACCTCAAATGTGGGCCCTGGTTCTTTCCACGCCATGAGATCAGAACCACACTGCAGCTGCTGAAGGTTTCAGGGTCCCCGGCCCAGGCAGCAGGTGTATATGAGTGACGGGGGCCGGGGGGAGGTAATAGGCAGCAGGGGAGACCACAGCAAACCAGGGAACCTGTGCCCATCTGAGTCTGCACACCCACTCTGCTCGGAATGGGGGCCCCGGGGACAGATCTTCTGATTTTCAAGAGGCACCTAAACTACACGTTTTAAAGGTGGAATCTCCCGATCTTTAGATGCTGATAATTAATCCAAATTAATATACCTGTATTGATATGTGGATATCCAAAGAGCCTGTCTCCAGGCTATATTCGGCCCTTAGATGCCCGTGTGCGACCTCTGGGGCAAAATGATGACTCAGGACCAGGGGCTAACGTGATTTTTGTAGTTAGAATTAGATCCTGCTTCCTAAGGCCAACCCCCCCCGCCAGATCCCTGTCACCAGAGGGCTTGTGGAGGCAGCTCTGCGGTATCTGCCGCCCAGAAAACCTGGATTCACCAGCGTCCACCCAAAGCGCCGCGTCTCAGCCGTCCCAAGGTGGATGAGGTGGTGGGGACGGATTGGAGCCCTAGTAGGTTGGAGCCAGCAGCCTGGGAGCAGGAATCGGCTGGCAATCATATTATCAAAGCGGCTCCCACGGGCTGCGTGCCGGGCGCTGACCAAGCACTTTGCACGCACAGCAGCTCCCCAAATCCTCACCCAAATAACCCTGAGAGACCCAGGCTGTGACCGAGCCCAGTCCAGCTTAGACATCGGCGGCTCAGAGAGGTCAGACGGCCTGCCCATGGTCACACAGCCTGTACAAGGCGAGACTGCATAAAACATGGCTGTCTCCAACACCACGTACTTTACACTCCACTGCCCGCCTCTGAGCATCTACACGGCCCCATGGGACACAGAGGAGCGAGGCGAGTGTCTGGACGACCCAAGCACCCAACTGGCTTTATTCCTCTTCAGTGTATTGGGATTTCCGTCATGAGGGGCTGAATTATCAGGGTCACGCTCCCTACCCCAGGAAGAGACAGATCTCCTTAAAGAGACTAAGTCACAAAAGCAAGGGCACATTAGGACTTTCCTGGAGCCTGGGCACTGCAGCCTTCCTGGGCCCCTTCCTCCAGAAAAAACATATTAAAAATTATATTTTATGACCGCATTGATATGGAGAGTCCTATGTTAATATTATATATCAAAACATTCTCTTCCAACTAAAAGTTCATTTTTGGTCTGATTTTAAAAGAAATGAAAACGTTCTTGGGGACTCCAAAAGTGTTGTGGGAACAATGCCCCCCTCAGGTCTCAGAGCACGAAGGCGGGGAAATGAACTTCCCACAGTGCAGTCAAAGGCTGCCTGGGGTCTTGCTCACTCCAGAATCAGGCCAGGAATCGCCGTATGGCCTTGGGCAAGTCACTGGGAAGCCCTCGGGCTGCCTCTGTTTGCTTCTCTGTCAAATGGGTAGGATGTGCCCGGCCTGTACAGCCCGACTTATCTGAGTGAGGTCAGAAGGCCTGGTGAGAATCTCATGGAAAAGTCGACAAAGACCTCCATGTCAGGTGTAGTTCTCAATTCTCCACTTCTAAACACTGGTGAGCAGCTTTCCTTGTCTGTGGTGCCAAGTGTTCACTCTGAGGCCAGCCTGACCAGGGACAGAATACTGGCTCTGCACGTGCCAGCAGGCCACCCCTGGACATGGAGTGTACTGTTCCTGAGCCTCGGTTCTCCCATCTGTGAAATGGGATCAATAATAGGTGCCTTAGCATAGTGTCTGGCTTGGAAAATAAGTGCTCATCAAACAGCAGCTGTTATTATGATTGTTCTTGTCATTATTATTAATCCCAGAGGAGGCGGCATTCTGCAGGTCTGTGAATCACTCATGTGGATTGGGGAACATTTTGCACAAACATCATCAACCATCGAACACCTAACAAGCTCTCCGGTGGCCCTGTCAGCACCACCAGGGGCTGTTTCGGGACATACGTACCCAAAGTCATGTTGCCCCTGGTTGGCAGTGTACCCAGTGCCTGCCAAGGCCCCCTCTTGCCCAGCACAGAAGCAGCAGGCCATCAGCTTCCGGAAAGTTCCCAAACCCCAAGGATTTCCAAACAGAGGATGACACAGACTGGCTGAGGGTGTCATCCCGGAGGACCCCCGGCTCTCCAAGTTAAAGGTGCAGGGAGTAGCAGAGCAGCCAGCTTGCAAGGTTTGCCAGCCCCCCGCTACTCCCCCAGGTCACCTAGCGGGCTGTGTCCCCAAGTTAAGAGTCGCCCTCAGCAGACTCTTCACCCAGCACCCCAACCCTGGAAGAAGGAAGGAGGGGAGCCCTTGGGGAGAAGCAGCCACCTACTTGGGTCGCGCCGTGTTTGCCGATGAGGACGCGCATGGTGCAGGAGCTCAGCTGGGAGCAATGACCCCCGTCCCAAGCCCCGGGTCGGTGCACGCAAGGAGAGGATTTAGAGACCCCGGCCCAGCCCCGAGCCTGCGAGGCCAGCTCCGGAGCCCGTGTGGCTCGGGTGGCGGGTGAGCCACGATCCTTTTCCTGCTTCTAATCAGATTGAGGGATGTGCGGGGAACTCTGCAGAAACGCCCCCAGGGAGGCCAGGTGGGGACCAAAAGGCTGCGGTTGCTAGGAAAAGCCGGGCTGTTGCCGGCAGGGACCAGGTCGCTAGGCGACCATCTGCCCGTTACCAGGGCCCGCGCGTCATCAGTCACCCCTGTGCCTGCGCCAAGCTGGCCAAGAGCATCCTTCACCTGCGGGTGACAGCCCACAGCTGTCCCAAGCCTGACGCCCTCTGGCCCTGCCCTGCGATCACTCACTCTGTCACCACAGGGCCCTCATCCCTCCCTGGACCCAAAAGTTCCCTGAGTTTAAAACTCTGGGAGAACGTTTGTGTGAGCGTCTGTGAGCCTGCAGCATTTGTGGGTGACTGTATGCGTGTGCTTGTGTGCAAGAGCATGTGTGCAGGGTGTAGTGTGGATATGCACGTGTGTGCATGTGTGTGCACACATGTGTGTTGTGCATGCCTGTGTATGTTTGCAGGCTTTGTGTGGGTATAAGAGCATGCATGCCTGCATGTATAAGTGTGTGCATAACCCAGCGTGTGTGTCTGTGTCTACATGCTGGTGTGCATGTGTAGTGCAGACGTGTGTGTCTACCCATGTGTACTGTGCACTGAGAACACGTGTGTAGCCGGTGCACGTGCGTGTGTGTGAGCACATGCCTTCAGTGATGCAGCTCAAGAGCAGTGGCGTATGGAGGGGTTTTCAGGCCTGTGTGTTGGGCGCACAGGTCTAGTGGGAGGACAACTCCCCCTCTATGCGTTCCACACAGAGGCAGGCGGAAAGCAGAGGGCAAGCAAGGATGCGCTGATGAAGGTAGGCAGCACCTAAGGTCTTCACCTGGGGGAAGGGCGGTCAGCTGGTAGTGAGAGCAGCCTGACTCTGGGGGGGACCAGAGGGCAGAATTAGGACTGGGTTACAGAAGCCATAGGGAAGCAGCCTTAGTTGTGATGGAAGAAATAATTACGTACGTCAGAGGTGCATATGGACGGAATGGACAGCCTTCGAAAGGTTGTGAGCTCCCTGTCGTTGGAGGCAAGCAAGTATCTGTGTGGCCTCCTGCCACGGATGGAAAGATTACCTATGAGCTGGGCAAGGGTGGCTAAAAGCAGATGACACTGAGCAGCCTTCCAGCCCTGTGTTGGGCTCATGGTTTAACTCTTTCCTGACTGGGGCAACAAGTGCCCCTCAGTAGGGCTGAGAACATCAGTGACCTTCGATGGGGCACTCGCTCCAGGCCAGGTCCTACCACCCCATTCTCACCGCTGGCCTGTGACCGCTCTGCAGGGGCTTCCAGACGTGGGGCAGAAGCTCTGTGCGGGTTTGCTGCTTGCCCAGGTCACTCCACTAAGAGGAGTCAAGCCTGTGCTCCTAGCACGGTGCCACCCCGCCTTGGGCCATGGCCAGGGGACAGGTCAGGGAGGAAGGCTGTGGGCCAGGGTGTACCACGAAGGGCAGAGCGACAGGGACAGGGGACAATGCAAGGGGGATGGAGCAACGGGACAGATTAAGTCAGTCTGCCTGATCCGTGCTAACAGCCTCCTCACTGCTCTCCCTGCCTCAATCTCTCCACAAGGCAGCTGCCGGATCATGTCAGTCCCCTGCTCACAAACCTCCAATGGCTCCCCATTGCCCCTGGCAAATCAAGTCCAAGGCCTTTGCCGTCTGGCCTCACCGCCTCTGAAGCATCATCTCCCACCATGTCCACCAGCTACACTGTCACTGTTCCCGGGACACGTGGGCTGCTCTTCAGCCAGCGGATCACTCCCTCCTCTTTGAAACACTTTCCAGCTTGGCCTCCAGGCCCCATACTCTTCTCGGCTCCCTCTCCTCTCACTGGGCCTCCTCCTCCGTCCTTTCTGGTTCCTCCTCATCTCCCTGGCTCTCCTCTGGCCTTTCAGCCTCTCCTCTATCCACGCTCACCCCCAAGCATCCCCTCCAGCCGCACAGCTGTCAATTCCATCTACATGACCAGACTCCGGACTTTACATCTCCTGTCCAACCTCCCACTCTCCTAAGTCCAGTCTCCAGGCTCCAGCTGCCTGCTCTTCACCTCCACCTATCCGTCCGTCCTTCTGTCCATCCCACATTGCTAAAAATCCTCTCCTTCTTAGTGGCTTCTTTTTTTATTATTATTATTACTGAAATATATTTGACATGTAACGTTGTGTAAATTTAAGGTGTACAACATGTTTATTTGATACATTTATATATTTAATACGATTGCTGTGGGAAATCAAGATTTGGCCACCCTGAAATATATCTCTTCACCTTGGTTGTTTTCTCTGAGGGACATTTGACCTCCCCCACTACCTGCCTAAAGAATTTGACATAGTAACTCCTTCCTGGAACAGATCTTCTATCTGATGGCTATAATATAATGTAAAATAGATGTTACAATAGGAAAGGCATCAACAAGCCCATCTTATGTCTCTCTGGCCACATTCTCTGGATGGCCCTTCGAGGAGTAGCCAGACAAACATTTACATTTATAAGGGAAATCTCCATTTGTAAAGGTATCTCCCTCTGTTTTGGGAAGAGGGGGGATGGCCTCATTTCTAGAGACTTATCAATGTGGAAGGTGAGGTCTTAAATCTGCATAATAA